ATAATATCCCAGTCATTATAAAACTGGTGAAACTATTAACTATATGAAGTAAATAAAAGATAAAAGCCTATCTACATGTATTACAAACACTGATCAATCATAAAATTGGCACGATTTTCAATTTTTAAAATTGCAAATTCATATTTCCTATTGCCATCAATAATCATATTAAAAAATTTTTTTACTTTAAAACAATTTGACAGAATTTTTGGGGGAGATCTTTTACTTTAAAAGAAACAATGACCCCACTTTTCTTTTCCCCAAAAAATTTTTTTTAATTTCTTGGAACTTTTTAACGAAAATCATTTTTTTAAAACAATGACAAAAAAAAACTTTTTTTGAAAAAAATTTTGGGTTTTGGAGTTAATATATAAATTACATAAAAAAAACCTTTAAACCCTTCAGCCCCCAATGTTGGCAAAAATACAAACACATTTACTTTTCCACACGTTTTTTTAAAATTTACAGAAAATTGAAAACTTTTTCGTCACATAAACATATACGGGTATATAAACATTGTTATGATTCATGTCATAAAAATATTCTCAATATAATATATAGAAAAAATTCTAGAGTATTCTCGATTATAGGTGACTAAACTTCTGACAATAAACAAACATGTATATATTATATTATATATTCTATAAAGTTACTTGGTTTAAAACATGTAAAACAATAAAAAATTCTGTTTAAATCCAAAGTAAATTAAAATACCTACATTACCTTTTTTTAAAATTTAAATCTCCCAAAAAAACTTAAAAAAACCGGGGGCCCCAATTCCAGGTTTTTTGAACGGGTCCTTTAATCAATTTGGGGAATTAAGAGGGAAAAGTAAATGTTCATCTGGCCAATATATTGTCCTGTCAGACGGCATGGATGTGCAGGCTCTATACTGATGGCAAAGTCTAATCCCTTTTAGGTAAGATTTATTATTTTATATACAAACGGCTATCAAAAAGTAACAAACGTCTGTATTGAATATAAATATTGCCTATACACACACATGATAAATAAATATGAAGAATATATCCCTCCTAATGATAAATTCAAATGGCAAAACAATTGTTTAACTTTCAACTGGTAAAACTAAGGACTTACGTTTGCTAGCAGCATACAGTCAGGCCAGCCTGGACATCCATGTAGTAAGGCCAGCCTGGACATATATATAGTCAGACCAGCCTGGACATATATGTAGCTGGGCCAGCCTGGACATCCATGTAGTCAGGCCAGCCTGGACATACACGTAGCTGGGTCAGCCTGGACATCCATGTAGTCAGACCAGCTTGGACATATATGTAGATGGGGCCAACCTGGACATCCATGTAGTCAGGCCACCTGGACATCCATGTAGTCAAGCCAGCCTGGAATACATGTAGCTGGGCCGACCTGGACATCCATGTACAACAGCCGGACATCCATGTAGCTGGGCCAAACCCGGAATCCCATTAGGTAGGTAGGTCAGCCGGACATCCAGTAGTGCGAGAACCAGCTTGGAGCATATATGTAATGGGGCCAGCCGGGAACACCATTGTAGTCAGGCCACCTGGAAACAATCATGTAAGTCAGGCCAGCCGGGACATACAGTACTGGCCGACCTGGACATCCATGTAGTCAGGACCAGCCTGGACATCCATGCATCAGACAACCCTGGACAAAATTAGCTGGGCCCAACCTGGAATAATCCATGTAGTCAAGCCAAATGGACATCCATGGTAATCAACCAGCCGAAACACCATGAGTCAGGCACATAGACAACCCATTGTTAGTCAGGCCAGCAATGGACAACCATGTAGTCAGACAGTCTGGGACATCCGTAGCAAGGCAAAATGGCATCCATGTAATCAGACCACCTGACATCCAAACCAGGCTGGAAAATACTTTAAAACAGGCCAACCGGAATCCAGAGCAACCCGGACACCAGTGTCAGCAGCCGGACACCAGCAGTCGCCGGCCTAACTTTTGAATTTCTATCTTTACCATTTGAATAGATAAAAATCGGGAAAAAAGTGTGTTTAAATAAAAATTAAAATTCCCACAACTCAATCAATTTAGTAATAAGCTAAATTTTAAAAATAATACCATTACTCATTACATGAATAAAAAACGTTTAGGGGTAGAAAGAACATTTTACAAGACCCCCTTACAGTAAATGCAACACAACTTTTAGCGACTTAGTCAAAGTTTTATATTCCAAAAGGGCCTCACATAAAAAATAATCTTCCCGGCAATACTTTTTTTTGAAAAACAAAACAGCAAGTAGAAACTGAAATTGCCAGGGTTTGGGAAAACTGCGAACACAAAAACTTTTTTTAAAAAGGAATAAAGATTCACCAGGGAAAATTTTGACCAAATTTGTTTGACATTATACCCTTTAAAATTTTGGAAAAAATAGTAAAGGAATTATTTGTGAATAAAATTTAAAATTTTTTTCTGCACCCCAAAATGGGTTTTGACCTTAACATGTGCCCTTATTACTAAAGTCAGGAAGTGGACAGATTGGGTTTGATTGAAGGAGAAATTTGATTTTTTTATAAGTTTAAAAAAGCATTGATATGGTTCCCCAACAGACAATACTTTAAAATTGCAATCTTTTGGGATTGGGGGGCACTTTAATGGATCAAAACTTTTTACAAAAAACCAAATTTTTTTAATAAAGTAAAATTTGCTATTTTAGTGTAACAAGTGCGTGTCCCCAAGGAAAGGGTTTAGACCCAATATTGTTTCTTATATTCATTAATGACATTGAAAGTCAAATTAAAAGTACCTTGCGTCTCTTTGCGGATGACACCAAATTATTTAACCTGGCAAATGTAAATGAAAGACTTTAATCAATATACAAAATGACAATGATAGTTTAATACAATGGAGTGAAAAGTGGTTAATGCAATTTAATGTAGACAAATGCTGTGTATTTCATTATGGACACAATAACACGGAACATCAATATTTTATGAAAAGTGACTTTACAACTAAACAATTGAGGTCTAGTGAGGAAGAAAGAGATTTAGGTATATTATATGATAAGGATTTGAAATTTCGACATCACATAAGTAATTGTATCAATAAAGCAAATAAAATAACTGGATTGGTCAGAAATACCTTCTTACATGTTAATATCAAGCAATTTCGGAAACTTTATAAAACACTTATAAGACCACACCTTGAATATGGAAATATTATTTGGAGTCCAAGATTTAACAAGCAATTATCATAGTATTGCAAGCAATCCATAAGTCCCCTACTGGTAAGAGCCCAAGCAACATTCTGAAGGGCCATTGGCCATTCACTTATAAATGTTCCAATTTTAAGTAAATTTGTTGAAAAAGTTCTTTAAAAGTGATCACAGGAAACAGTTTTTATGTACAGACAGCCGGACTGAAGGACACTCTAAAGTTATTTTTTAAACATCCCTGTTATCAAAATATAACATTTTTAAAATCCTTTCATGATTAAAGAAGTTGGAGTAAAAATTACCAATTTCTCAAAAAAAAAGTCTAAGTTCAAAAGGGGCATAATTCTGGAAATAGTCTTGCTAGAGTATTAAACACTCACAAATGTTGGGTGATAATAAGAATCATTTATATGAAGTTTGAAGTAGATACATTCAGAAAAAGAAGTTATTAAAAAAAAAAACAATGTTTTTTTTTCATGAAAATTTTAAGTTCAAGGTAGGTAATTCTGATAAATTTTGTGCTAGAGTTGTAAGCCTTGTCACATATGATGTGGTTGATGACTAGCAACTTATATTTAAAGTTTGAAGAAAATACCTTAAGAAATAAAGAACTTATAGTGAAAAAACTTAAAAACTAGAATCAGAAATCTTGAAATTCAGTCTATTTGTTGCCATAGCAACCAGAATTTTCAACATAGGAAGATAAGAAAAGGATGTGCATAATTTCCATACTCCCATCTACCCATATGTCAAGTTTCATAAACATATTTTCAGTACTTTTTGTGTTATCACTGGATCCAGGTTATGTGTAAAATTTGCCATATTTTCAGTCTATTTGTTGCCATAGCAACCAGAATTTTCAACATAGGAAGAAAAGAAAAGACGTGCACAATCTCCATACTGCCATCTATCCATATATCAAGTTTCATAAAAATATCTTCAGTACTTTTTGCGTTATCGTGGGATCCAGGTTATGTGTAAAATTTGCCATATTTTCAGTCTATTTGTTGCCATAGCAACCAGAATTTTCAACATAGGAAGAAAAGAAAAAGACGTGCATAATCTCCATACTGCCATCTATCCATATATCAAGTTTCATTAAAATATATTCAGTACTTTTTGTGTTATTGTGGGATCCAGTTTTGTGGACGGACTGACTGACAGACGGACAGACGGACTGACGGACAGACGGACGGAGGGTAAACCTTAAGTCCCCTCCAGTAAACAGGTAGGGGACTAAAAAAGATATTGAAGCAATCGAAAGAGTTCAAAAAAGAGCAACAAAAATGGTTCATTGTATCAGAAATTTATCGTATGTAGAAAGATTAAAAATTCTGGAAATTCCTACATTGGCTTACAGAAGATTTAGAGGTGATATCATACAAGCATGGAAATTATTAAATGGGAAGGAAGATATAGATTATAATGTATTTTTTGAAAAAGCACAACTTGATAATCATCACATCAGAGGAAATTCCATGAAGTTGAAAATAAAATCATGTAAAAAGGAAATAAGAAAACATTTTTTCTCATTAAGAGTAATACCAGAATGGAATAAATTACCAGATACTGTAGTATGTTCACCAACGCTGAATTCGCTAAAAAACAGACTCGATAAGGTTATGAAAAACAAATTATATACTGTTATAACGGATAATAATCATTGGGTGTCAGACCTCGAGGGGGTTATAAGAGATTTCTGATCTCGCGACCCTACGCTAGATAAAGTATAATGTAAGGGTATGTGATAAAAACAATTTTAAATTCCAAACTGGACAAGTCATTGACATACATTAAACAGGTTAAGTGTTAAATATCACACAAAAAATACTAGACTATGGTAATTTGATTTATTCCGAGGGTTTATTTCCATGTAAATAAACAATATCATTATCAGAAGAGTCTAAAAGAAATAAAAAGAACAATTTTATGACAGACTCGCATGGTCTGTAAACAAGCAGGATTATAATATAATAACAGCATGAGGCTGTCTAACAAGAGAAAACACACTCCAAACAAACTACACTATCACATTAAAATCACAGATAATTTCCAGTCTACAAGCTATACATGAAAATAATATACATTGTAGTAATAAAAGTCACTAACTTCCTTCTAAAGGCTGAAAAAAAAACATCCAATATAACATTGTTACTGTGACTCAATAAACCACATTCTATATGTGGTTCTGTGAAATTTTACAACCTTACATATTAATTATTTTTGAACAATTAAGACATAACATAAAAAATTAAAAACATTCCAAAAGCTTAAAACAAGATAAAACTAATAATTGGTATATTCTTTGTTGCATTCTAACTAAATACGCATGTGAAAATATGCATTGAATAAAAAATTTAATTTAGAAAGTAAAATGTTTGATTTTTTAGAAATTTAGAAAGTTTTGCAAGTCAAGCTGTAGTGAAAAATATACTTCCCAGTTGAAATCATTAATGAGGCGGTCAATTTAAAAAAAAAGCTAAAGGAAGATAAATATTGAAAAGAAAGTTACAATTATGTGTATTTTGTCGAAGAGATTCACATTAACATGCTGTTTGATATCAGATCAATTTTTACAGAAAGGATGCTTTATTTTGTTGGATTTTTAAGTTGCATCAACACTGTAAAGGTCATAAGGTGACTGTCCAGCTTTACTGGTGGAAGAAAATCTCAGAATGATGTCCCTTTCTACATTATTTAAGGTATAAGTGGGCATCCTAGTAGGACCACCGACAGTCCAAAAGTAAACCTAAAGGATACAAAGCATCATAGTATAGTATCATATGAAATATTCAATGGTAATTATACACAAAATAGAAATCAGATCATTTTGAATAAAAAATCACATAAAATAAAAACAATATACAGATCTCTAAATGTGATGTACATACATAAAAAATTTAAAGCAAATTATAATTAGGAAAAATCAAATTGACTGTACAGAAGAGTCCCTTCTCTCGACCACTCTATTTCACAAACTATCCAACTCTATAAGAACTAATTTTGATCACTTGATTTGTCTTTCTATCCAAAGAAATAAGCCCTGTTATTGGGACCACCTCTCCTATTAATAAAAATTTAATTATTTAATGCTGAATCCATTGATGACATATTCTTCAGTCTTAATTATACGTATGTATAAATAATACAGACCACTTTGCCACCGGGTTTATACTTTATAAATTCTATAAAAAAATATTTTCTAAAACTTTCGTCCTATCACAATATAACTAAAAGATAAGGGTCATACATTTGCTGGCAACACACAATAATAACATGTTGTTTTTTTCTACTCTCCAATTATAACAACTACATATACATATACCATTTTTCAACATTACAAAAAAATTATGCCTCCAGAAAAAATTAAAAAATGACAAATCAACCACCAGTCTAGAGCCAGACCAGCATGCACTTTCATCCAATCTGACCAGTCCCTATAATACTCTTCAGTATTTGAAATAGAAATCCCTAAATCTATCAATGGACTGTTCCCATTTCATAGTAGGACCCATCCATTATAATTATTATATATCTATATGTTGTAGGGTAAAATATAAGTCCAGTAATAAGGTGGATTTTTTCCCCCTCTTCTATCCTTAATTAGATAAAGTGCTAATATAAAAGAAATTGTAGTATTTCTATATCCAAAATAGTACTTTACTTTTGTAACAATGTTAATTGTATAATTACATTTTATTTCATGCTTTCCAGTGTTTTATTGTAATATATCAAATGATTATATTCTGATAAACCACTAGTGAAATTTATAAAATATAATTTTCACTGTAGCCGGACTATATCTGAATGCGGATGAAAAGAAAATCAAAACTGAATGGAATAACAGGCAAAAATAAATGCCGTCATGCGTAAATTTTGCTTATTTCGGAAAAGAAAGGCGATGTCACCATACATTATGTTAAAAATGTAACAAAATTAGAGAAATTTAAAAGAACTATATTTCAAACTTGTTGATGTGACGTCATGATGTGATGACGTCACGAAGGAGAATGCGCGACGTTACGCGGCAAAATCAGTAAAAATTACTTAAAATCACTTAAAACGCATGAAATAAAAAGAAAATTTATTTGTTTTACATATAAGATTGAAATATATTTCATTCGTGAACACCAGCTATTATATTTTCACTCGTGGCTACGCCACTCGTGAAAATATTGCATCTGGTGTTCACTCAGTGAAATTATATTTTAATCTTACACGCAAAACAAACAAATATCCTCTATAAAAGATTCTATAAAATATGCATATTTCAGTCTTCTAACATTCATTTACTGTTATTGCTTCATGTCCATCGTTTTGTTTTAAAATTTATCCTGATGAAGGTGTAATCCGGAACGTCAGTAAGTAAATAAGTTGTTTTGTTTATCTTTAATATTTCTACATTAACAATGTTAATATGAGAAATTTTTACCAGCAAGCAGAATAAATGTTTGGTGAGACAGAATGACAATACAGACTGGACTTCCTCTAGATTGATATACATCAAATAACTGACCATTTGACTTGAGGCACCAAAAGATGACATTTACAATAGACGATACCAACAACTTTTGTCCTTACAAATGACAATCTGTACAAACTGATTTAAATGTATAATAAAAAAATATCTTGTTTGTACGTCCCTGATACAGCTAGAAATATTCATTTGCTGGATTTAAAATGTATAAGATCAATGAGTAAAGATCTATAAGTAAAGCTGTAAATAAAAGATGCCCATATTGTAACAAATAATCATAAAAAATAGTAATAAGAACAAAAACACAAAAAAACAACAACAAAAAACTTAAAACTATGAAAAAAATATAACACTATGAAGGAATGTACATGTTGTATTATTGAAAGTCTAACAATCAAAGTTAGACTTACTTAACTTGTTCTTTTCAAAACAAATTGTGTTACAAGTCTTTTGTGTTGAAACTTTTAACTGGAATACATGAGATAAGTCAGTCTAAGCATGGCAATTAGGTGGAATATGATTTCTACAGATCATTTAAATTCCACAGATCTATAGTAATGTATATATCAGACACAGACAAGCTTGTAAGGTTTATAAATACATGTACATGAAAAATCCATAAAATTCTATAAATATTTCAAAATTGTAAAGATCCATACAGTTCTACATATCTATACCTCATATCTTATGATTATAAAACTTAACAAAAATTCTGCACACCAATAAAATTCTACAAATCTTTTAAGTTTAAAAATCTAAAAAATCTACAGCTCCTTAAAATTATATAAATCATATTACTTAAAGGTTGATAAAGTTTTCATATTTTTGTATGTAGAATGTTTGAAATTAGATGAGCTTTTGAGATCACATATATAAGTCAGGTTTTCTTTAAATTACAAAATCATAAAAATCTTCCAAAAAAAACCCCAAACTTATAACTTTGTACACATGCTTATATCCATGGCAAAATTGATACTGTTATTCTGTACATGAGCTTTTGAGATCTATATTTATTCTTCTGTTAAATTCTGCTATTAAATCTTCCATATTAAATGGCAAAGCTGTTACTATCATTCTCTCTGGGGATTCACTTAATTTTGCCGGCATGAAATTTTGTGGTTTTGTCTAAAAAACATTTTCATGGGATCTTAAATTTGTGGACTGTTTATTTTTCCAAAAGGTAAAATGTAAATAATGGGATGCAAAATAATCTTACAGCAGACAAAATAAGATTTCGTTGTACCTAAAATTTGTGGATTGACAAAAATTAGTGTCCCACAAATAATAATTTTTTTGCAGTAAGCTGTTTATAACAACTCACATCTATCACTGTACAATTGGTAAATATGTGATTATCATTAGTAAACTTTTAAAGTGTAAAATTTTTCAATACAAACAACTAAGCAACTAACTACACAACCATTTGTAAGTGGTAAAATGCTAACACATTTCATAATTTTTACAATTAAACTACATGCACAAGCTTTTTATAATTGAAAATCTCAAAATTCTTATTTGTATAACACCAATGAGGTCTAAAAGCCTAAAATCATAACAAGAGCCACCGCTGGGTGGGGGCAACGCTCGACTTTTTACTTTTTCCAAAAGCAAACAAAGAAATGTTTGAACAAATCTTAACGTTTCCGTTTTATAAATTTAATCGGTCTGTCTTGTCACATTAGTTTTGTCTATTTATTTTGTATATATAAATATACTCATTTATATATGTATATAAAAAGAAACATGCAATTCTATAAATAGAGTGGTGTTCCTTTAAGCTTTCATAAAATATTCTGTGTATAAAAATAAATTTAATTTATAATCAAAAAGAAAGATCTAATTTGTTCTATAAAAATAAATCTAACCTATAATACATGAATAATATCTGTAAAAAACATTCACCTCAATATTGGAAAAAAATTAATTAAAGTAAAACAGAACAAAAGAAGGGATCAAAAATTAAAAAAAAAAAAAAAAAAGTTTTATAATAACAAGAAATGAATTAGTAAAACAGAATAAATGATTTGGGGATCAAAAATGAAAATAAAAAAAGTAAATTTCTGTCACTAGAGGTAATTCAGTCATAGATTAAAATGAGCCGCGTCACGGCAAAACCAACATAGTGCGTTTGCGACCAGCATGGATCCAGACCGGCCTGCGCCTCCGCGCAGTCTGATCAGGATCCATGCTGTTCGCTATCAGTTTCTCTACTTGTAATAGGGTTTGTAAGCGAAAAGCATGGATCCTGATCAGACTGCGTGGAGGCGCAGGCTGGTCTGGATCCATGCTGGTCGCAAATGCATTACGTTGGTTTTGTCATGACGCGGCTAAAATATCATCTGGCCCATCACGTATGCTCTATATGTCAGACGGCAAATACCTGCAAGTATGCTATAAAAGTGAGACCAGTTTTAGGTCATAAAATAAAGAAGTCAAATCACTCCTAATTTTTTGTTTAATCCTTAACCTGTTAGCAGCCTCAGATTTTACCCATGTGACCAGTGTAGGCCGGTCAGACCCTCTTATTATGGTCTGTACTGTTTGCTTTTCAGTCAGTACATTTTTAGAAAATTTTCTAAAAAATTATTGTTTTGTAAACTGAATTGGAAGATGGAAAAGTCGAATGTTTGGTGTGGTAATGGTTAATGATCACACAAATTCATGAAAGAACCAATAACTCAATAATTAGAAGATATACATGTACATAAATCATGATTTCATGAGAGCTGATGTTACATTAATACATACTGCCTAAATGGACTGAATATTTCTATTAATACATATATATTCATAAATACAAATGTAGTTCAATTAGTTTAAACACAACAAATTCTACAAATTATCTAAACAAAAGAGTTGTCACATTATTCGAATGACATTATAGTGTATCATTGAGGAAAAAAAAGAACAATCTTTGTGACCGCCTGTCATATTAAAGTCATCAATTATTTAATGTTTCCTTTGTCTTCTAAAGAATGCTTTCTCCAAACCCATAAATGGCGATTCAAACAGAAGGGAAAGCACAAATGCTGCTCCATTTGCCATTATAAGGTGACCAAAGAAGAAATATACCTGAAAAAGAAGGCAAATAAATCTTACCTACAATTACTAAGTAAATGTGAAATTAAAAATCAAAAATTTTAAGATAACAAAGTTTCTGTTCTCATGAGCACACACTGAACGAGATATTTGAAATAAGTTATAATTATGAATAAAGTAGATTCACATGCTAATGATGTCATACCTCCAAACTATGAATGTGTCCAGAGACCCAAAGGTCATACAACCTGTGTACAAAGTCAGGGTTTGCAAATTTGATTCACTTAATATGTTTATAAATTGGTTTTAATCAAATATGACGTTTTTCTTCAAAAAGCTTGTCACAATAAGGTAGGCGTGCATTTATTCAACTATCCTGAAATGCCTTTGGACCGAATAGTTTACTGTTGGCCACTCAAGTTTCAGAAGTAAGATATTAAAATCCCTTTAACTAAAAATTGACAATTTCTAAATCAAAGCAGGTCCGGTTCATCATAAAAATTTTGAAAAATGAAATATTAAATAAGACAGCTTACCGCATCAAAGTCAGTGATATATATCGGGTCTCGTTTGGACATGTAATATATCTCCATGATGACCGGATGGATGAGGTAAGAGATATACGTCAGTCGGCTCAGTGGTATAAATAACTTCCATGACAGAAACGAATTTATTATCCCTGTAAAATATAAAGATTACAGTTACTTTTGGTACATACATATAACATTGTGTTTTTATGTTATGGAATCTTCAAATACCTTAAATGGATTCAAAATCCTCGAAAATACACTACAGTTTGTTCAATATATGTATGAGACATGTATTAAATTTTGATACAAACATTTTCACATAGATTTATACGAGGAAACACCATTGAATTCTAAAGCAGGGTTCGTACAGACATCCAATGCCAAAATTCAAGGACTTTTTAAGCACTATTTAAGCACGTATTCCCATTTTTCAAGCACATTTGTTGCACATATACCGACACAATCTTCAACCTATGATGGATAGTTTGTTCACCATTTTTTGTTAAATACAAATTTTCTAACATTATAGAAGAACAACTAAGGGTGCATCAAGTACAGATTAGTTCAAAACAACTGCAATTTGTCCACTTACTGTTACCTTGAGTAAACATTTCATTGATTTTGATACTAAATTGGATCTTTTTTTTATTTTGTTAACCGTTGATTTTTATCAAAACTATGTCATTCTGTGATTCAAACATTTTCAAGCAAATTTAAGCACTTTTTAAGCACTTTTCAAGAGAGTAATCAAATTCAAGGACTTTTAAGCACTATTTTACATTTTTAAGCACTTTTTAAGAAAGAGACTCAAATTTAAGCATTTTTTAAGACTGTACGAACCCTGTAAAGGTTGTGCGCATCTCTCAAAGGAATATTTTCTTGCTATAACTTGATTATTAATAAAATGCAAATACACCTTGAACCTTGTTAAAATGTTTAGCCTTTGCCATCAATATAAATCCCAGCCAGTTTGCACAATGCTGAAGTGTGACCATGCCCTATTCTTGTGCTGGCTTAATTTTTGTATTTTGATACTCAAAAATCCCTTTAACTTTAAATGGACTGTTTCAAAAATGCAATGCCGAACAAATCCATTGCAAAACAATTCAGCAAGTTAATGGTGAATTATCTATTTTTTAGTTTGAGATAACATCTAACTTTAGTGATTTCCTTTAATGTCAAGCAAATCATTTGAATACATCAATAGCTGTAATTAGAAATTTATGGAAATCTTGAACAACCTACCTCCATAGCCAGTGGCACAAGCATACACCACCCAACCAACACCAAGACCCCATACAGATGAACTTAAAGCATTGTGCAGGGCATTCTCTTCCTTGCTAGGTATATGTGTACCCCTGATACTGTCAAAATTACCGTACAGTGTTGACAGGCAACATGCTGTAGCAACCAACCATCCAAGCAAATTCTGAAACTGAAAAAACAATACAACAAGAGCATGAGTAAACAATTCCTGTTAATGTGAAAATTAACTGTAGTAATATAAAAATTCACTGCAAAACAATACTGAATATGCAGGTTTTATTGAAAAGAGCTTTAACCAAGTGGTAAAGGTGTCTGGCTGTCATAGGATACATGGGCTCCAGCCACATTCAGGACATAATTATGTTACCTCTTATGACACAAGCATATAAAAGTTTTTTTGCATGTAAGATTGAAATATAATTTCACTGAGTGAACACCAGATGCAATATTTTCACGAGTGGCGTAGCCACGAGTGAAAATATAATAGCTGGTGTTCACGAATGAAATATATTTCATCTTATATGTAAAACAAATAAATATTCTTTTTATTTCATGCTTTTTAAGTGATTTTAGGTATTTTTTCACTGATTTTGCCGCGTAACGTCACGCATTCTCCGTTGTGACGTCATCATATCATGACATCACATCATCAATTTTGAAACATAGGTCTGTTAAATTTCTCTAGTTTTGTTACATTTTTAACATGATGTATGATGACATCGACTTTCTTTTCCAAAAGAAGCAAAATTTACGCATGACGGCATTTCTTTCTGCCTGTTATTCCATTTAGTTATGATTTTCTTTTCATCCGCATTCAGATATAGTCCGGCTACAGTGAAAATTATATTTTATAAATTTCACTAGTGGTTTATCAGAATATAATCATCTGATATATTACAATAAAACACTGGAAAGCATGAAATAAAGAGATATATCAGTGATACAAAACTGATAATTTCACTGTTTTAAACAGTGAAATTATCAATTTGATAATTTCACTGTTTTGAATTTAAGCCCCTTACGTTGTTTCAGTGAAATACCAGCGTGCACAGTACTAGGAACCAACTTAATGATGTGACGTCCAAAATGATGTCACGTTGTATTATTATTTGGCGCGCTTTTCATTCAGTATTAGGTTAAATGTCTTTTTCAAATGTTTCTTTGCATATAATTAAAAGAAAATTTGTTAAGTTTAGTGTAAGATCGAAATATATTTTACCTTGTGAACACCAAAAGTTCATATTTCACTCGTGGCTGCGCCACTCGTGAAATATACCTTTTGGTGCTCACTCAGTGAAATATATTCCGATCTTACACTGAACTTAACAAATATCCTCTATTTATTTATGTTTTAAAAAGGTACAAAAATAAATCCAGTTTCATTGGCTCTATAAATAAATATTTTTTGAAGATAATGTTTTATATAAACCAGGATTTACTTGTGTTAGGACATAAATCTTTCTACATTTTTATGATTATAATGTTGTTTTTTTTCCTTATAGTTGACCTGTATATCACTTTAGTTTAGACTAATAGAAAAATATATGCAATAATTACATCAATAGTTCCACTGATAGAAAACTTGTGTTGCCTTTTAGAGAATCTAAATATCTAACCAACAAAGAGAAACGTTTTTTTTAATATTCTGAAAGACCAGTTTATTCTATCCCAATAAGTTCTTTAATACATAGATTTTAGCATTCAATTTCTGTATAAATGTCCCCTATTTCTTTGAACCCAAAAGACTGGGAAGATACATTTAAAACTTTAGTATAGTGAATAATAATATCTCACCCTGGATATTCGCTTCTTGCAGTCAGTTTTGTACATGATATATCCAAATATCATGCCCACTATGTATGGTCCTATACGACAATATGGCTTTGTGTAAATTGTGTCAAAAAATTTCCCTGTATTTCTGTAGAATTATAAAAAAATATATATAAATTAAGCATTTATTTAATCTTAATTATTAGCTGCACCAAAATGGTAAAAGTGAAATAAAATTTGTGTTACTATGCTTTACAGTCTAACCTCTACACAGTAACACCCTTAAGGAGACATATAAATAGAGGTTATTGCTCTACATAGGTCCATACTGTGGAGGTTATACTGTATTTTTGACTTTCCGCAGTCTGTACACTTATACCATCATAACTGTTATATTATACTTCAATTAAACATAGTGTGTAACTTTAATTTAAAATATAATGCCACAAAAGAAGTGGTTTTTAATGTAATAATCTCTGTTCATTCTAACATTAGCTTTTAGATATTGTGTAGCTGTTGACAGACAAATACACACACAATGCCAAAACTTTTTCCCTTTGTCATTTTCACCAAGATATAAAAATGACAGGCACAAATAACGCCATGAGTTTAAAATTAGAAACCTCTGCAGGTTGTCATGGAAACCTACTTACCCTGGATCTCCACCTACTCCAATGATGTTCATAGGAAAGTAGTAATGTGATGTTAGCACTCCAGTAACGGTGAAACTTGTAATAAGGAACCCAAAGCATACCAAACCACCAAAAATACTGGAGCTGAAAGAAAGATAAATTATTGAAATCAAAAGCATATAAAATAACCAAAAATACTTTAGCTGACATAAAAGAAATGTTCTGGATTACTGAATTCCAAAACAAACAAAGCCACCAAAAATTGTAATACTTGAGCTGAAATAAAGGCAGGGTTTGGGCGCTACCCATTGTCTAAATTAAATTATAATATTTTCACAAATTTACAGTGACTTAAAATTGCAACGCAACTAAACATTACATAATTACCAACAAGTGTAAAAATCTATTTCAAGCATTGGTGACCTTGCCCCTTGTAACCCCAAACTCCACCCTAATATAAAAAATGTTTAGTTAATAACCTTTGGAACACCTTGATGGTTATTCATTATCATCTCAGAGTTGAAAGCAATCTCCTATGCAGTGATCTTCCCTTATCAGTACAGAGATCTCTGCCATCACAAACATTTTTATCAATATTTTGGTATTTTATATTTTTTAGTTTTTGAATTTATTGATTATTATTTTGTATACTTTTGATAATTTTTTGATAAATTATAATGAACATAGGTATGTAAAGTTAAAAATAAAACAGAAAGAGAAAAATGATGTTAGATTTTCTATGTAAAGGTCGATATTACATTTGAATTTCGACGTAATGTCATGTGACTTTCATCATCATGTGATGTCTGTGAAGGCAGTGATTCCCTAAATGAAAATTGTTTATTTGTTTGTTTCATTTTACACCTTTTCCCAACAGTATTTCAGTCATATAGGCAGGTAGTTTCCTAACCATCGTTCCTAAATGAAAAAAAAATACTTACAGTGTCTTGTGACTTAAACAGATTGTTAACATAAAGTAGGTTCATCCAGAAATTATTTTCACAAAAGTCTTTTTCTGTTCCTCTCTGTGACCAGAATGGACCATTTGAGACATATCTTAACAGTGGTATGTATAATAACATTATCAGACCATATGTTGGTGTTAACCTGAAAATAAATGTACAATACCATTATCAGACCATATGCTGATGTTAGCCTGAAAATAAATGTACAATAACATTATCAGACCATATGCTGATGTTAGCCTGAAAATAAATGTACAATAACATTATCAGTCCATATGTTGGTGATAGCCTGAAAATATATGTACATTAACATTATCAGTCCATAGACTGGTGTTAGCCTGAAAATATATGTACATTGACATAATCAGTCCATAGGCTGGTGTTAGCCTGAAATTATATGTACAATAACATTATCAGATCATATGCTGGTATTAGCCTGAAAATATATGTACAATAACATTATCAGTCCATAGCCTGGTGTTAGCCTGAAATTATATGTACAATAACATTATCAGATCATATGCTGGTATAAGCCTCAAAATATATGTACAATAGCATTATCAGACCATATGCTGGTGTTAGCCTGAAAATATATGTACAATACCATTTTCAGACCATAGGCTGGTGTTAGCCTGAAAATATATGTACAATAACATTATCAGACCATAGCCTAGTGTTAGCCTAAAAATATATGTACAATTACATTATCAGTCCATAGCCTGGTTTTAGCCTGAAAATATATGTACATTAACATTATCAGACCATAGGCTGGTTTTGGCCTGAAAATATATGTACATTAACATTATCAGACCATAGTCTAGTGTTAGCCTGAAAATATATGTACAATACCATTTTCAGACCATATGCTGGTGTTAGCCTGAAAATATATGTACAATACCATTTTCAGACCATAGCCTAGTCTTAGCCTGAAAATATATGTACAATTACATTATCAGTCCATAGCCTGGTGTTAGCCTGAAAATATATGTACATTAACATTATCAGTCCATAGCCTAGTGTTAGCCTGAAAATATATGTACATTGACATTATCAGACCATAGCCTAGTGTTAGCCTGAAAATATATGTACATTAACATTATCAGCCCATAGCCTAGTCTTAGCCTGAAAATATATGTACATTTACATTATCAGACCATATGCTGGTATATGCCTGAAAATATATGTACAATAACATTATCAGACCATAGCCTAGTGTTAGCCTGAAAATATATGTACATTAACATTATCAGACCATATGATGGTATATGCCTGAAAATATATATACAATAACATTATCAGACCATATGCTGGTATATGCCTGAAAATATATGTACATTAACATTATCAGACCATGGGCTAGTGTAAGCCTGAAAATATATGTACAATAACATTATCAGACCATAGGCCAGTGTTAGCCTGAAAATATATGTACATTAACATTATCAGACCATAGGCTGGTGTTAGCCTGAGAATATATGTATAATACCATAGGCCGGTGTTAGCCTGAAAATATATTATGTTCGTTAACATTATCAGACCATATGCTGGTGTTAGGCTGAAAAAATATGTATAATACCATTATCAGACCATAGACTAATGTTAACCTGAAAATACATGTGTACATTAACATTATCAGACCATAGGCCAGTGTTAAACTGAAAATATATGTACCATAACAATATCAGACCATAGGGTGGTGTTAGCCTGAAAATATGTGTACATTATCAGACCATAGGCCAGTGTTAGCCTGAAAAAATATGTACATTAACATTGTCAGACCATAGGATGGTTTTAACCTGATAATTGGTAGAGCTTTGGGCTCTGAATCAGGTGACCTGGGTTCGATTTTCTGATGGTATAGGCCACTATCATTGGAATTGATAATGAAATGTTTCCTACAGTCATTCACACTGTACCTCTGCTGTGGCATGTACAGAAGTATGTCGGTTCCTTGCAAAAGTGAAGGTATTAAGTACAGACAAACTGCCTGAAAGCCTATCAAGAAAAGATGCAGTTTCTGAACAGTTCTCTGGTGAATTCAATGTGCCTTACAGCCTTGATACGAACGGTAAACAACAAAAAATGCCTTATTTTAAGCATATACATGTATTTTGTACACATATAAACTTACATATCTTAAATTGTGTGTAATGAAATACACGACTTGTACTTTATTTCTAAAGTTGTGATGTTACAACATACAGTCATATTAGTTTCAAACCAATTACAATGTTATAATGACACTGATATGTACAGTTATTTTAATCAATATATCAAAGATTTATAACAACAAGAATGTAGATATAAATGATATTTTACCCTGTCCATGCTAAATATCTTAAATGGACATGTCCATTTTTTAATCTGGACAAAACCATTAATAACTTTGAATGAAAGTCATCATATTGAAGCAGTCTATGTTTAAATTTTAGTAATATCACAATGAAAATATGGAAGTTGGTCAGCTGGATTTTAAGAGTCTTATATAAATGAAGCATGCTGTTCTTGATTTATACTAGTGGCAAGGGCTTTATGTTTCCAGTTTAAAAATACTACTGGTTAACATTTATGGCCTTATATCAAACTTTACCTCCAGAATCTGTGAAAATAAAACATTCCCCACTTGAAATTCTTCACACCACCAACCTTCCTTAACTCCTTCAGTGAAAGATATGCTACTAGAAGTCCACTGTAAAGATAGATTATATAATTGTATTGGGGCGTAAGTCACAATTTAACACTCATGTAGAAACTGTCACAGTATTAACTAGTACAACATTAAGCTAATGACACATTGTGCATGATTCTAAGCCTGACAGGCATTAATATAGACCAAAATAATGACCTATATGTAAACAATAAGTAAAAGAAAATTGATGAGTTACATATTACAATAAATTTAACAAAATTCAAAGGTCAGTCACAAAGTTTTAACTGACAATTATACCAAAAGGGAGCTATTTAAAGTTTTGTTAAATGTTTATAATGTTCTATATCTTACAATCAATCAACAAAAAAAATACTGAAACTGTATCAGTAATCAATAACATTGTATGAAAAAAAGATAAAACATTTCCACATATTTGATTTAAATCTGATAAACAATAAAAAACATAAGAAAATATCAAATAACTTATTTCATGGTTAGGGTCTTAGGTCTTGCAGTCATATGGCAAGTTTTAAGCTTAACCAGTGGATAAACACCTCAGATGTCTAATAAAGCATATTTCAGACAGAAACAGACCACTTACTTAGTAGAACCACATTATTGTTAGTGTATCAAAGCTACAACTTTTAACCACTGAACAATAATTATACACCCCGCCCCAAATTTGGGTAAAAAACTTTACTTCTTACACCTTAAATTTTAAAAATAAGAACAAAATATAAGCTGGAACTTTATTATCAACTAAATTCTCACAAACCTTAACAAGAAAAATGTATCCACGGCAACTGTAGCATTCAAAATGGTCATGAAGCTGAATATTTTTACATGACTTTGTATAAATGGATAAATATTTTCTGAAAATATCAAAAAAAGTTGGTGTTATATATAGTCAAGTTTGAAAATATCATCTTCATGAAAACAGAGAAAATATCAATTAAAAAGAAATGTTAAAATGCTGCAAAAATCACTGGAAGTAAAACATATTTACAAATGCATGTAAGTCTGATTATGAAACTAGTACATGCGACTTCTTTGAATAATTGACAAGAGTGTTTTCTAGGAACTAACTAGTATATGTGTCACAAACAAAGTTTTACCCAAGTAGGGTTCGCATCCACAATTCAATTGATAAGCAAATGATTTACTTACTAGCTGAAGCTGCCAGGAAGGCGTATGAATGTCCGAGAATAACCCACGACATGCTGAGAAACCGGATCCCGTTTACAGCCCCTAATGTGCCCACACCAGATTTTGTACTGAGAAGCTTGGAACCATTAGTGTACAGGGAGAATGCTTGAAGAACTCTTCCACCGATCCCTGAAACATTTAATATAACATGTAGAACATAATTATCTTTTAATGCAAACAGTCAAATAGTCAAACAGTTCTTTAAAATAAACAATCCAATTACAACATACTAAAATTAGCAGTCCTAAAATATCATAAAAGGTCAGTTTTATTTAAAATCTTGACTTTTTTCAGAAAAAGAAACAAGACAAAAATACTCATCAGTTCTATGGAAATAATTGAAGTATTGATCAGGTTTTACAGAGTTCTTGAGAGTAAAAATGAGTTTATACCAGAATCGGTGAGTTAAAAATAAATATCAATTAAAAATACAAGAAAATAAGAAAGAGGTTGTATGAAAGCTCCAGTTCTAGAATAATTACTATATATAACGTCATTAAAATGTAATGTGACAGTGACATTGTCTTTAAAGTTTATTTTAATTCATTGAAAATTAGTATTAAAATTGTATTGTTTATGCATTTCTATCAATGTATTATCACATTTTGTATGATTATGTAGTATGTACAAGTCAAAATAAAATAATGCCCTGTTCTGTTCTGTTCTTATCAAACAAAGAAGTGATGGCAAAATTTATAGTTATACCAAGACAAACAGAAAACAAACTTAAACATGGTGTAATGAAGCATTCCTAATGAAGCATGAACATATAGAGCAAGGCAATACCAATTTCCAAAATACCAATTTCATCCCCCTCCTGTATGTTACTCTTTCCCTCGTTGCTGTGACCATCACCCTCCGCGGGTATGCTACTATATCCACGGAATTTAATATTCCGGCTGGAATTGTGATCTTCAGGCCCAGGAACCAGGGGTTCTGTTTCATCAAGATGCTCATAATCTTGTGAAGCATGGAGCCGATGTATAACAAACACGTCATATATGGTTCCTATGACAACAATCAATCCTAGAAAGCTGAGAACAGTTCTGGAAAAAAGGTGAAAAAACAAATAAACAATATATACACTAAAATGTAAATTTTCAACCATAAATAAGGAATAAAGTTATTAAACATATAAAGAAAATCAATACAGCAAAATATTTAATTGGAGACTGCTCAATAATTTTGTAAAATACCTGTAAACCAATTGTTTTTCAAACCTAAAACTTAAAGAATAAAAGTACACTAAAATCAAAACAATCACCAAGACTAAGTCATGAACATCAAATTCTGAAGATTTGCAGTTAAGGTGTTTACATATTGTAGGTGTCATTTTCCCTTCTACAGCCAAAGGTTCCCACAACCACTGTTACATATGAAATGAAACACTGGAAACCAGAAAACTGTTTAGAACTTACAGCGAGAGGAAAAAGTTGTGAAGTCAGCAGCGTGTATCACTCTTACATGATGGCCCCTAATATATATGAAAAGAAAAACTGGAAAACTATTAAGAACTTACATTGATATTATTGCTTTGGTGTCAAGTTTGATACCATCATAGCACACTGCTACATCTGCATGTAATGTGGTGTTCCCGAAGGGCACCAGGCCTAATACTGTGAAAAATACAAGTTTATAATATGTTATTTTTGTTAGTTGCTAAATGTATACAATAAAATAAGTACAGGTATAATGTATTATTTTAATAAACTGTTACATGTGTATAAAAAATAAAGAAAACATTTTGCCAAGGGTTAGAGAAGACTTATTGTTGGAAACAGTCAAACACCACAAACCTAGGCCCAGTAAATATACCATTATCTCTTGACTCTTAATGACGCATGATTACTGGAAATGAAAAACGTTTGACCTTGACATTTAAGCTTCAATCCTTGGTTTTGCACGAGAAACACCAGGTCCATGTGCCAAACATTTATGCATAATTATTTCAAAATCCTTTTGTAAATGACAAAGTCATGGGCTGGACACTGCCATCAATGTATTCTTAATCATATTATGACTTTGAAGATACAAGTATGACCTTGACCTTTAAGCTAGAAACCAGATTTTTTTTTTGCACATAGCATGTCATCATTATGTCTAATACATTTTTGCAAAGTTATTCTAAAATCAAATCAGGAATAATAGAATTGTAGGCTGGACATAAACATCAATACACAATATGCTACCTCTCTAAAGAGAAGAATGGGACCAAAGTGTGGCCCAAAAACTGGCAATAGCACTAATCAAGCATAAATGAAGAATCAGTATAAATGTGTACTTATATAGTATAAAACATATCTGCCTTCCTTGGGAAATTGTACAGAAGTTAAATAACCATTTGCATTAATTAGATGATGAAATTTGTATATCTAATTAGTAACATATCAGCTGAAAATTCTCACTGCACAAAGTTATGTACTATGTTTGTATGACTATTTTCTTTATTTTCAATGCCTATTGACCAATACTGCATCAAGCCTCATTTTTATTTTACTGACTAAATGATATATATTTGATCATAATGAGTGATATTTTATATATCAAACTCGTTAAATCAACCATGTTAAAATGACAATCTGACCAAATACTTAATTTCTTTATTACACAATTATCTGAAGAAATTTTAACGAACATATGAGGAAGAAAGTAAAGGCTTTATTTATTGAAGATACACATTTGATTTCCCAGTCTTCCATGTGTTTACCTCTAAGAAAAACATAATTTACAATATATCCAGCTTTAAATTACTACAATAATACAGCATCAGCAATGTGGTACATTTAATGTACATTAAATTGTTAGAACAAGAAATGCATGTTAAATATTTACATTATATTAAAAAGTATACATATGAAACAAAAACTAACCTGAATTAAAGATGATCAGCACGTCTGATCTAGAACATGTGTTCGGCATACAGACACCTAACTGTAAATCCCCAATTGGTATTTCTGCCTCCTGCAGAATGTATCATATATATGTTAATATCTTATGTAAAACATTTAATCTTTTATACAATTATGCATTTTGACAATCTCTCTGCATGCTAATATATAAACTGACTTGCCAATGCAGTCAGTAAAGTCTAACAGCATTATATTATATCTCAATTTCCTACCCAATACACATCCTCTGTGCACTACAACCATACAAAACCATCCCCATGTATATCTTTAGATAAGAAAAAAAAACACACAATAATGTTGAAGGTAAATATGACAATAATTAAGGTAAAGAAAGTAGATTTTAAATCTCTTACCCCCATTCCAGCAAGTGATGGTGCTGTTGCTCCGAGGGGTATGCCAAGTTTGCAATACTGGCCATTGAACGGATGAGTTGGCACTGATGAATTAGGTCCAGTCATAATGGTGGCAGTAGAGTTAACACACTCATCATATTCTCCCATCCAGAATATATTTCCATTTAAAATGCCAGACGGTATCTTCCCTGTGGCATCCAAAACTATATAAAAACAGAAAACAATAATTTATGTTTAAATTATTAAGGAACCAGAACATGTTGTTCCAGTAACATCCATACATAAAATAAACATACTTTTCTATGCCAACACCTGGGTTAGTACTCTCTCTATTCTCCAAATAGTTGAACTAATAAACAAGCCAGTATGTAGAGGAAATGACCTTATTACAAAAATGTATTCTGAAATAGGCTTTAAATTAATAATGCAACACTTTTGATGAGTCAAAACTAGTTAAACAATCAAAGGTCTCAATAATTTTTTCAATCTTTATAAAATATACTATAAATCTTACATCTTAATGCCCATGTTTCCCGTGTAATTATTGCAGCCCTTATAGTTGCATTCAAATTTTGTAAACATACTTCAGATATATTTGCTCCTGCTAAAAATCTGCCATATTGTCCTTCCTGCAGTAACTGAAAATACAAAACCATAATATGTCTATGTACATATATTTTATAACAGTACCAAGCCAGGTAATCTTACCTACACTTAATGCAGTCTGCTCAGCCTCAATATATTTGGTTTTAAGTAAATATTATCCAAAAACTTTAAAGGTCATATGGCCACTTTCCAGCTTTACTTGTGGAGTGAGCACCTGAGTAGAACCGCACATATTCCTTAAGCTAGCTGGAAGTCCTCACATGACACATTTAAAGTCTCTGGTAGGAATTGAACCTACAGTGTGAGGGGCAATATGGTTAAACACCATAACCATTCGGCCACAGACACCTCTTTATCTATAATATTACTAGCTGTCATTTTACTATTTTGATGTTGACAAATTTGAAAGTATAAGTAACAATGCACAAAACAAACCATTAAACAAGTTCATGATATACATATAGCAGTGTTAAAATCTGGCTCAATCATTTTCCTCACTACACACTGTCAGTCGTTATAATAGACTTAACTGCATAATGTAGTAAATGTGTAACATGGATTCCTTCTGAATACTCTCTGGTTTTCAACAGCAACTTCTTCAGAAAAATATATATGTGATGCATTGCAATCACTTTGAACAATCAGTACTGCAATCACTTTGAACAATCAGTACTGCAATCACTTTGTATAATCAGTATTGCAATCACTTTTTGCATAACAGGTATTGCAACCACTTTGTATATAACCAGTATTGCAACCACTTTGTATATAACCAGTATTGCAATCACTTTTTGTATAACCAGTATTACAAACACTTTGTGTATAATCAGTATTGCAATCAATCTCTGCATAACCAGTATTGCAATCACTTTATGTATAACCAGTAATACAATCACTTTGTGTATAATCAGTATTGCAATCACTTTGTATAAAAACAGTTATTGCAATCACTTTGCATATAACATGTATTGCCAAATACAAATCTATTATATCTTTTCAAAATACAGCAAACTAGAAATTTAAATGTGATATCATATAATTATATTTTAATGCATCATGTTTGTATTTCTGTCTTAACTTATTACACTGACTGCATTTAAACTATATTTGATTTAGATAAATATATGTTGTAGGCACATTTGCACAATGAGTTTAATCTTTCCATCAATTTTATAAACTTAACAGATGCTGCATATGTTAAATATATTGGATGTTATCCTATTCATAAATCACAAAAACTGAATATCATTAAGGTTTCACTTGCTTTGGCAGATCTATTGGTAAATGTTGTAATGGAAGACCCATTAAAATTAGTAAAGTTCAAACTCTAATAACTATATTACTGGGGAATGCAAAAATTTAACATTTATACAGATGTCTAAACTTACTGAACCATAATTTTCTTTTCAAATCTGTCATTTAATTATTTCTTACAATATTTGTTATATTATTTTATTTATTTATTGTTTTTTGGGGGTTTTTTTTGAGATTACATAATCCCTCCATTATAACTGTTCAAGTGAAGGTCACAATGTGATATTTGAGCTTATACTGGTGTAAAGAAAGACCAAAGATGACAAGTTTTTTTTTTGAAGGGGGGGGGGGAATAATATTGTTTTTTGTTGTTGTTTTTAAAAGGCCAAAAAGGAAAATTTAAACAAGTGAAGAGATTTTTTAAAATTTGTGTGATTAACGAGAATCATGTCTGAATGAAATTAATGAAAAAAAATTGAAGGTTACCATCCTACTTTTTTTAAATATCTGTCCCTGAAAGTGAAATTTTGTCCTTTTTTTATTGGTTATTTTTTCAGAAAATTTGGACAGGCCCTCCTTTTCTTTAAGTTTAAGCAAGAATTGTTCAACTGTAGCATATTTCCTACCTAAGGTAAAAATAATCTTAAAGTTTGAAAGATGTCAAATCTAGATTGAGCTAAATCATTTACAATTATACAAATTACAGTATTGCCTTCCTCAAATGAATTTTCTAACAAAAAAAATGAAATTTAAAATCAACATTCATATCAGTTTCTATTGAATATATAACAAGAAAATTTCACATTCCATAATTACAGCTTCAAAAAGTTTTAAAGTTTGCTTACATATGACAGAATATGATATGCTTTATAAATTAAAGTGCAGATATATTTGCACTTTTAACTGAAGGTTTAAACTCTGTGAAACACATTATATTATACCATTTAACAAAATATTATATACACTTGCACAAAAGTTGATTCTAAAGGTGGTATTTTACAGGTTACACACTGTGGACTACCAGTTTTAATTGGTAACCAAATATGACCAGAAAAAACAACACCATATCTCATGTAACAATTTATTATTCCTGCATGGACATAATTCAATAAAGAAAAGCTATACAATTTATATGACCTATGAGTAAGTCCTGATATTGCACTGTAAGACTAAACATGTAAAAATAAAGCTAGACAAGCTAAAAACCATTATACCTTAAAATGGACTTGTCCATCTTTTCATCTTGACAAAACCATTAATCCTTTTTAGGGAAAATTTTAAATTGTACTGATTGAATAGCGAACATATGGGGGCTGATCTTGGTCTGCAATGGCCACTCAGGTAGGATCACTCATTTGCTGACAGAAGGCTATAGCTTAATGGGTCAATTATATATTTATTTGTAGGTACATTAAGCCCATCTCACACAGTACACACGGCTTACACGGTTGGCCGCCCGTGTAAACCGTACATACAACCGAACTAACCGTAGTGTTATCCGAGTTACACTCGGGCCATTCGAGTGCATCCGTGTAAGCCGTGTATGATTTTTAAAACTTTTAAAAAACTGGTACGGATGCCATGTCCGTGTATGACCGTATTAGCGACCGTAAAAGACCGTAAGAGACCGTGTGAGACCGTATGAGACCGTATATACAGCCGTATGTGAAGTTCACTCCACAAGTGAGCCCAACCGTATCAAGGTCGTATATAAATCGTACTGAATCGTTCGAGACCGTCCCAAAGTCCTACATCCAACACCCGATTAACACCCGAATGTCACAAGATCACGGTACGATTCAAACGAGTGCACACACGGTTTCATACGATCACCATACGACCAATACGGTTCATATACGAAACATACATGGCCGACACGGTAAAGTACGGGTATACAGGGTCTCACACGGCCTCGTACGGTCTAACACGGCCTCTACGTCAGCAAGAACGGTACAAAAAACACAACTACCTGCTGCCACCCTACCAAGAGTGCTTGCTGCATCACACTAGAATGTATCCAAAGAAGAAGTTTAGACGCATCTAGAAGGAATACAAGGAGAGCCATCCAGGTCCACCGACCACTCCAACTTATTGACCCTGATAAGCTGGAGGACCAACCGGCAATAACCGTGTCTCCCAGGGATTCAGACTCCAATGCCAGCTCGGTGGACCCTCCAGCAACTGCTGCACAACAGAAAAAAGACACATTCATTTTGCATTGCTTCACCTTTTTATTCATTTATTGATGTTAATATTAGTTATAAAGATTGTTGACATGTTATATGGCCTTATATAAACGGCTGTTTGTAAATATAACCCGATCCGCTAGGCGAGGGTTATATTGCAAACAGCCGTTTATATAAGGCCATATAACCTGTCAACAATCTTTATAACGAATTTATAAAACAGCAAGCATCATTTGTAGAGGAATAAAGCGAGATTTCTTTATAAAACGACAGCAGCCGTGTATATAAAAATATATAAACGTCACGATTATCCAATGAAAAGCGACTTTACAAACGTGCAGTATTATAATGATCTATATATAAGTGTTCTTCGTTGAGATTTCGAAAATTCATGAAGCCAAGTCATCAAAATGGGTTAATTTATATCAAAACATACACAAATGTGTGATATTTCGAGCCTAACTCGAACAAAAGACGGCGGGACCCTATGTAAACCCTGTGAAAGCCGAGTAAATCGAGTAAAAGTCGTGTTTAATCGTACCAGACCGTACTAGACCGTACTTGGAACCGTACAACAGTCGTATGTATTCGTATGCAAATCGTGTTCAAACCTTGTTTGACCGAGTATATCCGTACTCAATTCGTACATACTCGTGCTATATTCGAGTCTAATTCGTGCCAACTAAACCACAAGCACGGTTGGAGCTCAATACTCGTACTGGTCATTCAACCCGTGTATAACCGAGTATACCGTATGGGAATCGTGTGTCCAACCGTGTTTTGTGTGAGACGGGCTTTAATTAGATTTTCATTTTAAAGGGACTCCACTGAGGTTTTTTGACATGACAAGACTGGAATTATTTAAGATTTTTGTACCATTTAATGTAGGTCTGAACCAAAAACTTGTGAGCAAATTGTCCTCTGTTTTTTCTGGAATATTATTTTACCTTTATATTATGCAAAATGGTCCAAAAATGAAAACCGTTGAAGTGCTTTACATTTAAATTGGGCTAAGAATTGCACAACCTATGAATTTTCAATTTTGAGTATATATCTTTATCATTCTTTAAAGATTTTCCATTTTAGTTACTGCACTTGATCAATTTTATGTATTTAGGCTTTTAAGTAAGTCTTCTTCTTTGTTAGATCATGAAACACTCATGAAACCAGTGTCTAGGGGGGTGGGGTGGATTCACTCATTTTTGAGAATTCCCTCCCCCCCCCATCCCCCTAAGGAAAAAGATCAACAAATGTAATAAAAGTATAAAAGTACTAATATTGAGTAAGCAACAGTTCTGCACCTGGTCATACCGCACCATTATAAATGATGCTCTAAATCAAAGATAAACAGGAATTAAAGTTTTTACAAATAAAAGATAAGTGAGTGAGAGAAATCATATTTCACTGGTCAACTATTTCACATATCGTAATATCAAATTAATATTTCCCTATAACATTTCTCCAATTTTAATAAAGATATACTACGCGCATCTTTGGGTAAAAACTTTTATTGTCAAAATTCATTGCAATCTAGAAAAATTCTTCAAGAATTTGAATAATAAGAGAATGCACAAAATTATGATGTTTAAGCTACAGTCTCACATACATCCCGGCAGAGCCCCGGTAGACGTCCGGGGTGATCCGGGAACGACCGGGGTACGACCGGGAACAACCGGGGTACATCCGTAACTCTGCCGGCAACGTCCTGGATGATCCGGGATGATCCGGGAACATCCGGCATTCGACCCCGGATGGAATAAAATATTTAATATCACCGGGGTGGTCCGGGATGATCCGGGAAGGTATAGCTTTGCCGGCTTCATCCTTAGCTCTGCCGGGAACGACCGGGGTTATACCGGGAAAGCACCGTAGCTCTGCCGGCACAAACCGGGGATGATCCGGGGTATGATATAGCCGGTAGAGCTACGGTAGAGCCCCGGTATATGCCGGCAGAGCCCCGGTAACTACAGGCAGAGCCCCGGAGGATAAAGGTAGAGCTACGGTTGATCCCGGTAGAGCCCCGGCAAAGCCAGGATCATTTCAAAAGAATAATGACAATTTGCGATGATTGCACTTGTTTGTATTAAAAGCCTTCCCATTTCCCTTCTATCCAGTATGGCATAAGGGTTTTTCAGAAAATCATCACGAATTACTATTCTGGAACATTAGATATTATATTAAATAAAAATTATGTATCAATGTTATCATTTTCGGGCGTTTTCAATCCACCGGGGTTCTACCGGGGCTCTGCCTGGATCGTCCTGGGCTCTGCCGGGACTCTGCCTGGATCGACCGGGGCTCTGCCTGGGTCAACCGGGGCTCTTCCGGCGTCATCCGGGAACGACCGGGGAAGCACCGGTATGAACCGTAGCTTCACCTGGGCTCTGCCTGGATGATTCGGAGCGCATCCTGGGTGGTTAGTAGGGAACTACAGTAGTGCTGCCGGGGTAAGTGTGACTGCAACAATAATTTCATCCCGGATCGTCCCGGTAACTTACCGGGATGGTCCTGGGCTCTGCCGGGAATAAGTGAGACCGAGGCTTTAGGAAGCTGTATCCCCTTTTTACTGGTCAAGGTCACTGCAAGTTTTTTAATGAGACTAATTTGTATTCATACTGTATTTACCTAGAGTGTGTAGAGTTTGAAATGTAACATATCGTCTCTGTGTGTACATTTCTACTAAACAGATAATATTTTACATTTAAAAAGAGACTGAATAAAAAATATCAGTTTTTTTGTTTTCAAATATCAAATTTGAGCATAATCATATAATAATTTGAGTTTTAAACTTTTCCTGCTATGATTTTGTTAGTTGTTTTTTTTCACTATCCTACACAATACTTTTTTGTTAACAGATAAAGTGTTTGCATAATAATAGCTTCAACATTTGAATATCCTTTAAATTTTGGTACATGAAATATCATACTGTTTAAACATGCTGTATATTATATCTTAATCTATACCAAGTACAGCAAACATTTTATGATTCATGTTCAATATCGTATCACAGGTATTACAGCATGCATACCTGTGTGCAAACTTACATTTTGCTTTCTAACGAAGATAAAAAATCAATCATTTACTATGATATTTTACTTATCCTTTACTTTGTCAGTTACTAGATATTTACTTTAATATGATCCACTTTTAACAGAACTCTTGCATACAATGACATATAATGTCATTTCACTAAAGACTTTACTATTTTATTTCACTTGTCATTTTGATACTTATTAAATTCCTCATAAATATGTAACTTAATATAACAGAAAAGAAGATCAAAGTACAAATTAATTAACTTGTGTAATTAATACATGCATACATGCAATATGCCATGCAAATTAAGATGTTCAGCTGCTAGCTAATTTAAAGGCTATATGTTAATATATACTGGCGAATGATGTGTTGTAAATCACACTGAAAACAGCATTTGATGTGGTTTACATTCAAGCATGGTACATATTCACTCAAGTCTTTTTTTTTATAGGGTCAGGTTTTTACAACCATTTCAATTCACACTGACACTCTAACTGATACTATTTTTAAGATCATAATTATGGTATCTTTCCAGCTTTCCTGGTTCAGGACGATCTCAGGTACCTCAAATGTGCATCATTCCAGGCACAAGAAGGGACTGCAGTATAACCACTGACCATCCATAAAGCTAACAGGATAACTTCTTCACATGAAAGAATCTGCAGTCCCTGGCAGGGAGTGACAGGATTTGAACAGCGGAAAGACTACAAAATAATAATTATAGATGTAAACAAGGGAATTTATAATTTATAAACATTAGTATGTTTGATGTTAGTGCAACACACCTTTCATTGTGACAAAACCAAAAAAATAAAGGACCAGTTATTCAAAGTCAGACCCCTAAACAATGTGAACATACTACTGGTATCTCTGAAGGACCAAGAAAAAACCTTAAAATTACAGTATGTTTGTCACATACATTTATTATCTAGAAACTATTAATTATATCTTACCTTTGAATACAGGTGTCTAATATCAAAGTCATTAGATAAAGATAACTTGTCTAACTCTGAATCATGTTGTAGAAGTTGTGGCATAGACTTGATGATGTTACCATAGTGATCATTCCCTGCTGTAACCAATGGCAACAAGGTGCAAAGTATCAAAATCAGTGCCATCATATCTATGTGCCTGTAGAAAATATATGGATTATTATTAAAGTTAAATGCTATATAGTTTTACAGGCACTGTGTTTAGGGCAAAATCAGGTCAAAACTTTTGTATTTTGCTCTATGGCTCATTTTGAGGAATGAGTCAAATTTAATAAACAATTGTGATTCATAACATTATTTGTTTATCTATGATAATTCATCTATTAAGTACTCAGTGATTTTTTTTTCAATTTTAAAAACAGCCTTTCTGAAGGGGAAAATATAGCCTAAGGGAAATCTGAAATCAAATTCATGGAATTTACCCACACGTTTGATAAAATTTTCAATTTCAATTCAATTTAACATGCAAACAAGGCTATCTATAGAGACAGCTTTCTCATATACAAGTCGGATGCTGATAAGTCCTGGTACTGGTGGAAAAATGCACAGGGCATTTAAGAGTAAAATATTAGCATTTTCAGGAAAATATACATTTTTGGACTAGGGAAAACAGCCTTTATTCATCTGTAAAATGTCATACATGTGACATCCCGGCGGGATTTTAAAAAATCCCGATATTTCGACACTGATCCCGATTCCCGATATTACAGCTTGAATTCCCAATATTTAAAAAAAAAATCAACATAAAAAAATCAAACACAGCACCTGTATCTAAAATGTAAACCGTGCCTCCAGGCATTGATTGTTATCTGTCCATATCCTAAATTATAGCGGATTAAATGTTGAGTCGCTAATTGACAGCAAGGTGACGTAATAAACAGTTCCAATACCCAAAGTTATTCTCACATGTTTAACTTATCACGTGTCGTGTGTAAGTCAATTGACCTCTTTTGTAATTTGGCAGTAGGTATTACACGCTACGTCATCAAAACTACCCTGTATGAATCACAGGTTATCGGCGTGGGACCAAGCCCTACCCCTAAGGTACCACCCCCCAGGACCCACTATACTACCCAAATATACTTCAATACATTCAAAATACATGTCAATACAAAATCAAACAATTCTATCAAAAAATATAATACTGATACTATAAACTACATCTATCAAAAAATATAATACTGATATTATAAACTACATAGTTTATAGTATCAGTATTATATTTTTTGATAGAATTGTTTGATTTTGTATTGACATGTATTTTGAATGTATTGAAGTATATTTGGGTAGTATAGTGGGTCCTGGGGGGGTGGTACCTTAGGGGTAGGGCTTGGTCCCACGCCGATAACCTGTGGTATGAATTCGGCTCAACCTTTGATTTTCTTTGATTAGTGCCGCACTGATAAAGATAAAATGTGAGCAGAATCATTTAAAGTGGATCATTCAAAAACCTGTTTGAGATGTCTAATTAACCTATTTTTAGTGAGTGGGTATTTTTTTTGTTTTGTTTAGGAATTACTCTATCATCGAGGCAAAAATGTGGATTGAATTAACGGAACGATTCTTGCATTTATTTTGAGTCATCTTCTTATGTTACGTTATTTAACTGTCAGAGACTTATGTTCATGAATAGTTGTTGCACGTTTTTAAATAGCTTGTGTTTGAAATTATTAGCCAATTATTGAATGACTGAAAAGACAGATATAATTCTTCAAACTGAAAATAATGAAATGTGAAAATGTGACTGTTTTAGAAATAGCCTGTATGACTACACTTATTTATTTATTTATCTATTTATTTATTTGGCGAAATAAATTAATATTGATCAACAAAAAAATCATAAAAAGTATAATAATTTAATGATTTTGAGGGTAATATAGATTCTTTGAACCAAATGTGCCAAACACGCATTGAAATTCTTCGAGTCGATAAAAAAATCCAGTCTTGAGCCTCAAAATCCAGCTGAAAATCCAAATTTGGCCCATTTTATTTGTCACATGTATGAAATGTAGGGGAAAAATCACTGGTACTTTATATATTTCAAAATTTCATTCCGGTTAAAATACTATTATATAGACAGGTGTAGTTAAATGGACCAATTCCCATTTTTAAAAATTGTTTAATTGTTACTTACTATGCTAAAAAATGCATTAACTTCAAGGTGACATTTGTATTAATTATAATTCTGTATACAAAAAATTCTGTCAATCAAACCTGAATGTCACAAAAAATATTTTTCAGTGGAAAAATTTGTTTTTTAGTATTCAATGGTAAGAATGAAAAAAATACAGCAGCAAAATTGAAAAAGAATGGTGTTACAACAACACAGTGATACATTTTGATACTTTTAACTAACTGTTAATTCATTGTTGTTTAAATAATATAATGACTGTTGATGTGTAATATTTAAATCATCATCACCGGGATTTATTAAATATGATGTTTAAAAAGTAATTTACAAGTTTTGATAAAATAAAAACTCTTTAAATATTTCATTAAAACATTTACCAAAAATGACAATTCCTTTTTTTCTAAAATGACCCTTATTTTTCTTATTTTTTTTTTTTAGATGTTGATAAGAAAAATTAATTACATATTTTTCTTAAAGTTAAAGACTGAGAGTTTGATATTCTGATACTTCATGGCATTTTAATTGAAGGGACGTCTTGTAATGTGTTATTCTTTCAATTTAAAGGCCTCCGACACCCAAAATATATATCAAACAAAAAAGTAGCATTTGTAACAGGTTATGTCAATATTATATGATTATCAGTATTTATGACATTGTCTATTAACTTCAATATTATATAATAGCAGTATTTATGACATTGTCTATTCACTTCAATATCATAACAGTATTTATGACATTGTCTATTAACTTCAATGTAATATAAAAGCAGTATTTATTGACATTGTCTATTAACAATATAATAGCAGTATTTATCATTATGAATATGACATTGTCTATTTACTCTAAAATAATAGCAGTATTTATGACAATGTCAATTAACTTCAATATAATAGTAGTATTTATGACCTTGTCTATTAACTTCACTATAACCGCAATATTTATGTCAGACATTGTCTTTTAACTTCAATATAATAAAGCTTTAAAAAAGTCATTCTTATATAGTGCACCAATAATAAACTATTTCAGGTCATAGGTTATTGTGGTATCGGTTATTGTACAGTATACATTTGACACATAATATTATAATGCATGCATGTCAGTTCTAATTTAATTATTTTTCTCTTTTACTCTTTATTTCTGTAAAAAAGTTTTGAAAGTTTTGATCTGAACTAACTAAAACTATCATAAGGTTACTGTCCTACAAATGAACTTTTGAGGCCAATGACACAGATGCATATGAACTTCTTATTTATAATATTAAACACAACTCTAGTAGATCTAGTGTAATAGCATTAGTGAAAACATTTCTAAATAAAGTATACATTATGTTTAAAATAAATAAATATGCACATTTCAATAATCTTAATTTCTATGCAAACACTAAGAATGACTTAGGTGATTATAACTGAAAATTAAGCATAATAATTTATTACTTACGGTTGACACTGTTCTCTGCCGTTTAAAGAGTAAAGCCAAGAAGTAGGACACCGGCTGGACAAACGTGAATAACTTCCCTTTGATTTAGGAGGCGTGACCGATAGGAGCGCTGTGAAATCCAATATGGCGCTGCTTATGAAATTACTTAGTTTTCTAAGAATTTTCCATATTTTATGATACATCTGCAATTAAGTAATGTTGTAAATACGTCTTGATATGAGCATTAAAGCATTTGATCTTGTACCCGCAATTGAGCGGGTACATCTCATGTCAGAGAAAGCCAAAACCCAGGTTTTACTATTTTTTAACTTTCATTTTAATGAATTTTACAAATTGATGTGTTAAAATTTCTTTTTAACAGATTAAGCACTGAAAGTACGTTTAATAATGTTTCAATGTTTTAGGATGTTGTTAAATACATTCATGAGAATAAAAACTGAAGTTTGTTATAGATAACAAAATCCAACACAATCTTGTGAGGCCTGACACCCACTAGAAACCTGAACTACCTAATACCATATTCAAGGACACAATATCACTCCTATTCATTTTTCCCCAGAAGTATTCGTCTGTGGAATGGCTTACCCGTGTCCTTACAAGCTAGTCCCAGTATAAACCTCTTTACTGGGCAGCTGCATCCTTTTTACCAGTTCTAAGCCAGCTTTGATTTTAACTTTTATCTCGGTCTTGTAGTTCTTTTTAACTTGCTTTTACCTTGTGTCTATAAATTTGCACTTAACATATTTGTTTTTAACAGCTATTCCCAGACAACGCGCCTGCTTAGTGTCATCGATTACGATTTTGAAGCAGTATAATGTAGATGTCGATATGTAGAGAAATTTTTGGCCTAACTAGCTACTTTTTGACATATTGAAATTCGGAGATAAAATTGGGGTACCACTAAAATACGCAACGGAGATTTTTTGGCGCAACGGACGCAACGGGCGCAACGGAGATATTTTTTTTTAGAAAAACCGGCACAACGCCTTTTTTAAAGTCAATGTGCTATATTTAAGCATCTAAAATGATTGTTTAGCACTATTAAGTAAGTATGTTTTAAAATGTTTCATAAATTGTATATGTTTAATTGCACTGAAGGGTTATATGCCTGGCGAAATGGAAATTTCATGGCGCAACGGAGATATTCTTTTAGAAAAAAACCGACACAACGCCTATTTTTAAAGTCAATATGCTGTATTTGAGCATCCAAAATGATTGTTTAGCACTTTTAAGTAAGTATGTTTTAAAAGGTTTCATAAATTGTTTATGTTTAATTGCACTGAAGGGTTATATGCCTGGCGAAATGGAAATTTCATGGCACAACGGAGATATTTTTTTAGAAAAAAAACCGACACAACGCCTTTTTTAAAGTCAATATGCTGTATTTGAGCATCTAAAATGATTGTTTAGCACTATTAAGTAAGTATGTTTTTAAAAGGTTTCATAAAAATTGTATATGTTTACACTGAAGGATTATATATGCCTGGCGAAATGGAAATTTCATGGCGCAACGGAGATAATTTTGGAAAATCGGCACAACGTATGTACTAATATATGAAATTAATTAACACTGGTCAATGTTATTTGAATAAATAAATCAAAAAAAAAAAGATTAAAAAACCTTAATCGTATATCAAATAATCAAATAGCTGCAATGATGATGTTGTAAAGGATTGTGTGCCGGTGAAATGGTCATTTTGTCTGCGCAACGGAGATTTTTTTTTTTGGCGCAACGGAATTTAAAAAGAAAACAATGTTTGTCCTAATAAGTAGTAATATGAAGAAGTAAATCATTAAAGATATTAACTGAATTACTAAAGTGGTGTAATATTAATTTAAAAATGGAATTAAATACGTTTTTATCGTTATGGCTGACACTGAAAGACAAGTATGGGTATTTACAATCTGTTTCATTTTTTTCCCGTTCAATCCGTTATGTTTACGAAAAGTACTGTAATAGCTTTTCTATACATAATTTTCAGAATTTTACTTGAAAAATACGAAAAGTCCATAATGCATACGCTGTGGACTTTTTAATGTAATCTTAACAATAAATTACCAAATTTTCAACAAAAAAGCTGCTTAATGGCTTTACTGCTGCACTTTATTTGTTAAAAGCATGACCAGTAGCAAGCAAATTTGCTAACCATATTACATTACCTTTTTAGTAATGATTGAAATATTTTATGCATTTTTAAATTAAAAATAGTAACTATACAAAATATTAATTGTTTGATGAAATTATTAAAATAGTAAAACGACATGCATGTAGAATTTGATGTTCTTTCTATTTCCATTTTAAAAACAGTGAAAACACATAAAATAATTAAATTGAACGTTACTTACCAATCAGAAAACCCCGTTAAAATCAAATGCAGCTACTGTTTATTTAGCGAAACAACAGCAATTTGGTGATTTTGAAGAATGTTTTATCACGGGTGTTAAGTACCGGATAATTAAATTACCAATGACACGTGGTTGATGTTTATTGGACACGTGTTTTCACACCATTTAAATAATGTAAGAGGAACGTGTATTGACTTTAAGGTATTAAATATTTTTTATAACTTGTTATTGTCGAAAATATTGCTTTTGAAGCTTATAACCAAACTATGAGAAAACAATGTGTATATATAATGTGAGACGTAATAAAACATTTTGGAGTCTGAATCCGCCACTGATGACGGTCAAGTTTTCTATTACAAGTGTTAAAAACATTATTAAACACCCGTGCCTTACACGTGCACGATACGTTGCTAATTGCTAACAATTCTCGCGTAATTGATTACCTTAAAAATTTAAAATTGTCAATATCATAATAATGAAATATTTGGATTGCTTTTGATGAAATATACAATGTATACGCAACAAACAATTATTGAAAAAGTACACAATGATTAATGAAAGATAATAAATTAATAAAATAATATGATATGATAAAACTGTTATGATAATCCCCGTTGCGCCGAAATATTCCATTTTGCCGTAATTTAAATATCTTTTACAATATCCTTTTTTCAACATTTTCTAAAATAAAGGAAAGTTAATCATTTTTAAAAGACTGTCACTTATTATTCTCAAATTCTTAAGTTATGTTCAAACATAAGATCTACCCGTTATGAAAATCTTCATTTTCCGTTGCGCCGAAATTATGTCCATTTCGCCGTCCATTTAGAATCTGATATATTCAGTATTCTACCTAATAAAATCAAACTTATACAGTATATGTAAAAAATATGTATAAAATATCAACAATACCAACTTATATGATTATTTTATGTTTTAGACATAAAAAACAGTACACAGTTTTGAAAATAAAATCTCCGTTTCGCAATAATCAATCGACGCAACGGAGTTTATGAAAGGTATAACACAACAATACAATGAATGTTTATAATAAAAAAATACTGAACATTGATTCTGTAATATCAACATATGAGTTTATTTAGTATATACTAATGCAAATTCAATTAAAAATTATGTATAGAAAAAGCTATTACAGTACTTTTTGTAAAAAATAACGAATTGAACGGGAAAAAATGAAACAGATTGTAAAATCCATACTTGTCTTCCAGTGTCAGCCATAACGATAAAAACGTATTTAATTCCATTTTTAAATTAATAAAACAGACTTTTATTACACCACTTCAGTAATTCAGTTAATATCTTTAATGATTTACTTCGTCATATTACTACTTAATTAGGCCATTTTAAATTCTGTTGCGCCAAAAAAAAAAAAAAAATCTCCGTTGCGCAGACAAAATGGCCATTTCGCCGGCACACAATCCTTTACAACATCAACATTGCAGCTTATACGATTAAGGTTTTTAATTTTTTTTATTTATTGATTCAAATAACATTGGTGTTAATTAATTTCATATATTAGTACATACGTTGTGCCGATTTTCCAAAATTATCTCCGTTGCGCCATGAAATTTCCATTTCGCCAGGCATATAACCCTTCAGTGCAATTAAACATATACAATTTATGAAACATTTTAAAACATACTTACTTAATAGTGCTAAACAATCATTTTAGATGCTTAAATATAGCACATTGACTTTAAAAAAAGGCGTTGTGCCGGTTTTTCTATAAAAAATATCTCCGTTGCGCCCGTTGCGTCCGTTGCGCCAAAAAATCTCCGTTGCGTATTTTAGTGGTACCGATAAAATTGTTAAAGCAGCATGCCTCAAGATTCATGCTTAATTTCAAGAAAATTTTGAAACTGCATTTAAAAATGAAATATTGTTAAGAGAACATCAATCGAGACTTTGCAAACAGAAATTATAGTATACTATAATTTAAATCGATCGGCCGCTACACATTTTATGTTTTCAATACACTTAGAACTGCACACTTTCAACTGCACAATTCTTTTAACACAATATTTTACATTCTGCCATTTGGAATTTTATGCACTGCTTCCATTTTTTCTGGTTCCCTGTCCTATTATGGCACCCGCAAAAGTGCGCAGTAGACTAGTCTATGCATCTGTTTTCAATCAGAATTCCTCGGTTGTTATCGTTATCTTGTAATTCGAAAAGTTGTGATTGGTCATTTACCCATAATTTTGCAATACTTCTGGCAAAAGTTTTAAAAACCATCACTATCTAGCAGGCACTCACATTACCGTCAAGCTGGCCTTGTGAGCAGTCAAGCTCGCTATTACTTGAATCTTTTTACTTTTCTTAAAATCTTAATTAATAGATTTTTCTCAAGTTTGAACTTTGATTTTTTTTTAATATTTTGGCTTATCTGGAGGCATAAGGCTTTAAGGGTTATATAGTCATTACTTTCATAAACTAAAATCAATAAATGTACTATGCTTCACATTTGATTTTTACAATTATTTGATGAAAGGTTGTACATGTTTGAAAACATTTTTATTGAGATGTGATAGATTTAAAGCAAGTAATCATTCATTTCACAACATTAAAAACATTAGATTCTTCTAAATATCTTTCAAGTTTGGGTGACAATTTCCTAAGATTTAACCTTTACTGAGCATATGAATAATGAATATCCAAAACAAACAATTCCCCCTGTTTTATTAAAGGAAATGTTAAAACATGAAATAAAAAGGTTAAGAAGGCTTTATGCACAGCTTATGTTTGTTCTGTTATTTGGCATCCCTGGCCTAAAGTATAAAGTGTACAGAGAGATGTTGTCAGGTATGTCTGTAACAACTATGAGTTCACCAATGTGTTACAGGATTTACAGTGGAATACTTTATATCAAAGAAAGGTCCATAATTCATTACAATTTTTATACAAATTCAATATAACCTAGTCTTTTTAGACCACAATCACTTAGTACCAACTAGAAATTGAAATTTTCTTATATCCCAGTCTCATATCCAATACCATCTGAAGTCTTCTTACCTAGAGCTATACATTACTGGAATAGCCTCCAAAGTTATATCAAAGCTAGTTCCAGCCTTAATATTTTCTCAGGAAGAATTCAAGATTGGTATTGGTTAACATTTAAAGTCCTACCGTGATATTTTTATTTTATTACTGCACTCTGTTCTTTTATTCTTTCATCTTTTCACTTAAGCACCTATACTAGGGGTGTTCAGGAAGTTTAAGGACTTTTGCTGTAGTTTGATAAATAATAGGAATCGAAAAACAAGAAAAACACCATAAAATATTTAATTCTTTTACAGCCAGCTGTAAAAATTACAATGAAATACATTAAACAATAAATAAATTACAAATAAAACAAAACATACACCGAAGCATACCCGGAGCACGCTAACGTCACGTCAGTGCTAAATAGGTTAACGTCAAAATACCCCGATCGTCATATCAACTCACTTCTCGATGTAATCTCCATTCACAGCGGTACATTTTCTATGCCTCTTGACCCTTTGTCGTACTTGTCCTCGTACCAGATGTTGTCAAATGACGAAACTATTCTCTGGGTTTCAATTTGTAATTCCAACCCGGAATCAAAGCGTCAACCACGCAGCTGTGCTTTGATTTCCTTGTCTTTTCCTACACAAAACTTGATGATTGCCCTGACTTCAACGTCCCCTATTGACGTCATTTTTCTCTTGATTTGTGTAAGCACCAGTGATGTTAAAACCGTTGTTATTCAAACAATTGTAACGATTTAGTAGAATTTTCAGGAAATGACGTTGACGTTGCATTTAACGCTCGTGCTTTTTCGTGACGTTATCCATTGTAATTTAAGAAAATTATTATCAATTAAATATATTGGTACCATTAACTTAAATACGATAAAATAGGAGTGCTCCGGGTATGCGTTATGCGGTTCATATAGAAACAAGTTTCATGCGGTATTTGTCTATTCTTGTCAGTGAGCGTTATACTACATATTGAGCACATATGATATTTAAATTACATTTTGTGAAATATGGATAAAAACGCACAATTAAGGAAAATAATACAGCAAAAGTACTTAAACTTCCCGAACACCCCTCATATGTTAAAATATTTTAGACTTATACTGTTTTTCCCTGGCAGTGCCCCAGTTATTATCTTCATTGATTATCCAGTAGTATCAAGTACAAGTTAATTTTGTTGAGAATTTGGTGTGATTTCTATCATTTGATACCTTCAACTACTGCTGTACAACATCCAGTAACAGTGATGTTATACTGCTGTCTATTTTTCTTTCCATTCATTTCAAGTCAAAGTAGGGACAAATTGCAATATAGCTTACACTCCAAGTCAAACTGGATTGTAAGACCAAATTTAGGTCTCTGTTGCTGAATAATTATGATTCCTGGTTGTGGACCACTTGCTATTCAACACTCAAATATATATACTAGTAACATACAGGTTTTAGTGTTGGGAGCTATCTAGTTAGCTTAGCTTGACTCAAATTAAAAGGCTTTAAATTTTATGAAAGTTATTAGTTTTAATTTTTATTGTTGTTTTTTTCTTTTCAGATTGAATGTATTGATGTGTGTGGGAAGAACTTGTATATTGGTACCAATGATTGGTAAGTACTGTAGTAAGACGCAATGTGGGTTTTTCCATATTTTTACTCCTGTTTTTAACCCCAGTCTTGCATATTTTCATTTTAACCCATTACGCGATATACACGCCTTTTTCACCCCCCCCCCCCTTTTTGTTGTCTCTAATGGTGAAAAAATGCCTTATTTAGGCCCCCAACACTTGTTTTTGTTTGAGAAATGTTGTTTAAAAAAGTGACCACTTTTTCGGCGCGGCCCCCCAACCAAAAGATACATCAGGGGGTTGCCAGAAGGGGGATGTGCCCCCTTCTGTTTGGGGGGTTTGAAGGGGGCGGAGTCCCCCTCATCGCCAAGAAAATTTTGGACTTGTGAGAGGCTATAAATGACCCCAGATTGATCATAAGGTAACGTGTAACCAACGCTGAAAAGCATTTGACTCTATCTCAATTCATTGAGAAGTTGCAGCACTTTGAAATCAATTTTGATGGAAAAAATCGACACAAAATAGTGATTTTTGGCAATTTTGAGATTTTCCTTCGTTGCCATGGTAACAGAAAATTTAAGCCTGAGTATGTTGTTTCAAGGGCAATGGTCCAGTCAACATTTGTGCCAAGTTTGATTAGTGTTGAAGCAGTTTTTGAAGCAGTTAAATATCACACTGGCCATAGCTTTCGCAGAAGCGGTGGGTCCATCGCAGCGGCGGTGGAGAATTTGTCGCAGAAGCGATGGATAGAATATGGTCGTTTGCTGTTGTCGGTAAGTATATAACTGAATTTTGTTTTATGTTTTAATGTTTTACTGGCAACACTCGGTGAGACTGGAGCCCACATATGTACTCTTTCAAGCTTTTACACGGACACGGTGCAATTCATTGCCGTTTATGCAAACACTTCTGTACAGTTTGGTGAGGGGACGCCATTTTTGCCTAATTGTGGTTAAAACACATACAAATGTGTGCAAAACGACCCCATAATACATTGGCATCACATTGAATGAATGATACCTTCACAAATTAACCATAATTGGAAAATTGGGGAAATATTATTGCCTGTTTGCAACATAAATGACAAAAATGTTTTCGTCACAGACGGCGGTGGATTCGATTGCAACGCAGTGCGGTGGTCCCGATACCATTTTTTTATATTTTAAGAATTTAACTTGACGTAAGGCACTTTTCAATTGAGTACAGCCCTTTTCTTACTTTGACATCTGAGAAACGCGTTTATTTTGTTAGAAAAATATGAGATAATTTCATAAATCGACGGCAGCCATGTATTTAAAAAGTACATTGTATGTATATAAACGTCACGATTATCCAATTTAAAGTTAGGTAACAAACGTGCAGTATTATAAACACATACACGCAAAATTAAGGAGGTTCAATACAATTATATTCTTTAAATTAAGCATGATGCTAGAATATGATAACATAAACATTTAGAGCGAAAAAAAACTTAGGGGTCACCGATCTCATTTCCTGTACGTGAATTTGATTTTTTCCTTAATTGTGGTTATTTCAAGGTCATATAACTTAAATGTAAGTCTGAAAAATCTTTTTTTCCCCGCTTGTTATGTTCTTCACTATATTTGTGTACATTTTCAAAGAAAGACTTAATTCCATAAAATATTTCTATTACCTTTTTTTTTATTTCATTTCATACTTTAAAATTCTTTAAACATATACCATATTTGAAACCATTTTTTTTTTCGATAAATGTCACAATTTAAGAAAAAGAAGAAAAACTAAAGCTATTAAACGCGTAGGTCTTTACAAAAAAAGTAATAGAGAAAACTTTTTCTGAGAAAACATAAAATTTATTTAAATTGGTGTTCTCAGTATATAGTAATATAACACAGTGACATTAAAAACTGAGGTTGTTTTTCGAATTCAAGAAGCATGTTCTGTTTATATTTATGAGTATCTCTTATATGTCTGTATGACAAAAAAATGTTGAACCTGGAACTTACGGTCTTTTTAAGTCCAAGGTTGAACGTGGATTATTCTATGATAATTATGGCTGAAGTAATTTTCAATGGAAGGAAAATGAAAGCGGACCTCGGACATATATTTGTACGAGCGTATATAATAATAATTAATATCGTTTTAAACATCAAATAAACACGTTTCTCAGATGTCAAAGTAAGAAAAGGGCTGTACTCAATTGAAAAGTGCCTTACGTCAAGTTAAATTCTTAAAATATACAAAAATGGTATCGGGCCCACCGCACTGTGTTGCAATCGAATCCACCGCCATCTGCGACGAAAACATTTTTGTCATTTATGTTACAAACAGGCAATAATATTTTCCCAATTTTCCAAATTATGGTTAATTTGTGAAAGTATTATTCATTCTATGTGATGCCGTTGTATTATGGGGTCGTGTTGCACACATTTGTATGTGTTTTAACCAAAAATAGGCAAAAGTGGCGTCCCCTCATCAAACTGTACAGAAGTGTTTGCATAAACGGCAATGAATTGCACCGTGTCCGTGTAATAGCTTGAAAGAGTACATATGTGGGCTCCAGTCTCATCGAGTGTTGCCAGTAAAACATTCAAATTCAGTCAAATACTTACCGACAACAGCAAACGGCCATATTTTATCCATCGCTTCTGCGACGAATTCTCCACCGCCGCTGCGATGGACCCACCGCTTCTGCGAAAGCTATGGCCAGTGTGAATATGTTAGTTTGCTAAAGAAATCCATCGATTAAATAGTCATTTAATTGCTAGATAAAAAAATTCAATAAAAACTGATAATTACTTTAAAGTTACACATTATTTTAGAGAACTTCATTTGTATGCATATTCCAGTATTAGTAAGTTGGGAGTGCAAATTTGGCAGAATAATCTTATACTTTACATCTATATAAGTGAATAAATATGTAAAAGCTTGCTATAGTATGAGCTACATTGTATAGTTAGACATGATATTATCTAGAATGACATTATTTTTTAGTTTTGTTGTGCATTACATTATTGAAGAGAGATCATCTAATTCTGGAAAGACTAGTTTCCATAGTGATAAGCAGGGTCACAAATATCTCACATTGGTAAGTATTGTTATGTAATTTTTGGAGAAAAAAAATGCCTTTTTAGATATTTATCAGGGGCAGCAAAATCTATTGTCTGTATTACCCAGGTTGTCCTACAGTTTGTAAGGACAAGTGGAAATTTTCAAGAATTTATTGATAATTATATAAATATCATACGGACAAGTTAGAAAATGCCTAAGGTAAAACTGGGCAAGTAAGTCAAAATCAGATTTTGTCGTTCCTATTTAGTATATATGATATTATGCTTTTATATTCTTGAAACTTGCTATCATATGATCATCTGTATATCATAATTACATAAATTACATTGTTTTTTCTTTTGAATAGGATTTGCATTCAAAAAAAAATACCAATGTGAGTGCAGTGGTTGCCTCTTTTAAGTTTAAAACCTGCCATGACAAATGTATTGTTTTTATTTTACAGAAAAAACCAGTTGTGCAGTTAAAGGCTGCCTCAGCTTTGAACAGAATTTTAGTATTATGTGACTTTACACTGACAATGTTGAATATGCTTGATCTGGAGGTTTGTATTTGATTAAGTAATCTTCTTTCCCCCCACCCCCCCCCCTCTCACCCCTACCCCTAACTTTGAAATAAATAAGTGTATTAATAAAGCAATAAAAAAACTGACTTAAAAAATGGGTAATATTGTTAATTGTCAGTATAGTAGAACATTTATGTCTGAATTCATATAATTGACTAATACCTAAACTTTCTTTTAGATTTTAGTAAAAGTGCTCTTATACAAAGTACATAAACATGTATTTTGTATATAATTTTTTATTGCCCTTCCAGATTTTTTCCGCCTTTTTGATTGGATATTGATCACCCGAAAGAAATTGATATAACCGAGCTAGACGGGTAATATACACACTAAATTTCCCCGTTGGGTACCCAACGTTGTAAACGACATGCGCTGAGGTGATGCGCGTACGGTTCGATTTTACGCGGTGTAAATTCCGATTTACAAGCACTTTTTAACTGTCAAATGATAAATATTTACCAAAGTAGAGTAATGATACAAATTCCCATCAGTATTGAAAACAAATATGACCTTGTGAAAGCTTGATATTAATTACAAAAAAGTGCTTTCAATAGACTACTCCTTTTCTCTTGTTTACATTCATTAGGTACGGGGAAAATACGTCATGTAATTATGTGACGTCATGTTGTGACGAAGAGGTACCCTAAAGGGAATCTTATTTCGACGTTTCATTTGAAACAGCAATGATTTTTTAAAAAATTGTCTAAACATGGCAGGGGAAGGGTAATAAAATTATTATTTTGGTTTTGGAGTGATATATGTGGATATATTACCTGCCAAGATAAATATCACCCTCGCCTAACCGCTCGGGTGATATAAAATCTTAGCAGGTAATATATCCACATATATCACTCCAAAACCAAAATAACATATAATATACAGAATACATTGTAAAGAGAAAAAATTGTAAAAGCATAAAGGCAATTAAGAAGTCAAGAGTCAGCAGTTAAAAAAAAGATAGGTAGGGAGGCTCACAAGGCTGAAATAAAACTTTTTGCCTAAATATTTCAAATTTGGGTTGCATAATAGCAAGCAGAACTATTTTTTTAAAGATGACAAAATAATCCCTATTCTGTTAAGTTATTCTTTTATGATGTTGAACATTACATTGTTTCTGTACAATAGCCTGCAGTGGGAGGAGCTAAAGTGAAAGGTGTGACACATTTCTGCCTGAATAACAACCCTGTTCAGAGCAGTCCATTTAGTGTGGAGGTGTGTGTAGCATTGAAGAAGAAACAATTACAGTTGTACAACATTACTGATGATAGAATGATCCATGTGAAGGATATATCTTTATCAGAGCCTGCCAGTGTTATAGTATGTATATGTATATATATCCTGGTATAATGGTAAATGTATATAAAACTTCTACAGTTAACCTTTGATCAAAAGCACTTTACTAGAAAATAGAAATACCAACAAAATACTAACCTTTGATCAAAAGCACTTTACTAGGATATGGAAATACCAACAAAACACCAAAATAATTTGTTACCAGGGTTTTCATTTTTATCTGAGGCAAGATGTGCCATCCAAAACAGTCAGTGTGACCAAGAGTCAAGGGGGATATGTTAATCTATAGGCTGAAAATATAACTGATTTTTACAGCATTTCAACCGATGAGATATTGATCACCAATTTGTTAATAATGAAAACATTACTGACTACATGATAAATAATATAATATTGCATACTAGAATTTTTAATGATAAAGTTTTATCCATGAAGTTCACAAACTGGTGTGCCTTCTTATAGTGACATTATGCTTATTTTTTGTTGTCAAGTTTAGCTTAATAAGCTATATATTTCAATGGATTGACTGTTAAAATGGTCATTGAACAATGATTGATAGAGACAATTTATTTGGTAAAAATATAAAAACTGCCTAAAATATAAAAAGATTGTCCCTCTCTTTTTATCAAGTGAACATTACCATCAATTTATGAAGGGTGTTTATAGATATTTCTGTGGGTCACAAGAGTCACTGATTATTTTCGTGAAACAGATTATAAAAACTAAATCAGTTGTTAGAAAGAAAATATGCCAGACAAATTTTGTGAAGTCCATTGACAACACTTGCTGTAGAATTGTCCATGGAGGTGCTTTCAAGTTCCTATTCTGCCAGTTAAAATGGAGTTGCCATGTAACCTGTACAGTGATAGTGTGCCATATAACCAAAGTAAGACAGAATATTTACATGTATAATAGAAAGTTATTCCCTTTTAGGGTCTGGATGGACATGTAGTTTGTGCAGCAATGATGTCACAATATTGTATGATAAATTATGAAACAGGACAGAACACAGATCTCTTCCCTGTAGATACAGAACACACACATCCTATTGTGAAGAGGATCAGTAAGGTAATATAGTCATCTTATTTCTACCTGCATTAATTGTAGAATATTTGGGCTCACCTTCTCACCTTAATGTTGTTGTTGTTATATGATTTAGTTAAAAAAATGTTGCATACAACATCATGTCTCATTAACCATTGAAGGGATATAATTGAAAGTTTACACATGTCTTGATGGAGTTCATTGTAAGTCACTATCCAGCCTGTGCATGAATTGTTGTTGAATTATAATAATTATATGTAAACTTTATGTTTTTGGAAAAAATGTGTGCTGAAAAAAAGTTCCTATTGCTAAAGGCCATATTTTCTCATGAATGACTTTTTAAGACATGGAAAAAGGTGAGATATATTAATTATTCATTAGCTTATGATTTTGTATACATTGTACATGTGTAAGACCAGTATTGAAATTTAATTTTACTGTTATTTCAGGAAGAGTTTTTGTTGACTGGTCCTAGTGCATTAGGTATGTTTGTCACATCAGAAGGTATTTCTCAGCGACCGCCACTACAATGGTCAGAAAACTTACGGAGCGTTGGCTATGTACATCCATATATCATTGCAATGAATGATGAATTTATTACAATACACAGGTAAATAAATAAGTATGTTTGTTCTGATAGGGTTTAGGATAGGTGGATACACTTGTGTCACTTATATTCAAAGTGGTCATATAAAGATTATAAAAATACATACTGTTGAAATGTTTACAGAAGGAGAGTAACCAGTATGGTATTGGATGGTATGTTACGGCATTTTCCATATCACCAATCAAGGGGGTAAATGTCAACAATCTGCCTTTTACAGATTTTACAATATGGAAACTGTTATGTAGGTGGTTGGTTCTACTCAGGTGCCCATTCGTGCCTTAAATAATGCATGAAAGGACACCTGAGGTCATCCTCCATCAGTAAAGCTGGAACGTCACCATATGACCTATACTGTGTCGGTTTGATGAAAAACCCAATAAAACAAACAAACAATGTTACCAATGTGTAATAAAGTTTAAATGGGTTACTCTGGGTTTTAATAGGGATTAAATAATGAACTTTGTATCACTCTATGCATCATAAGTGTATTTTTACATGCTTAAATGCCAAAGGCTTACTTCTAATAAATCATAGTTTTGAATGATAAAAACCTATCAGTATTATGTATTGTCTGTTATCACCATTAACACAGTAGTCTGTTATAATTTAATATTTTATAATATAGTCAAGACTACAGTTTAATAAGACATTTTTTAATTAAAAAGAGATGTATGATTATAATTTACTTTAAAAACATGTTAATATCTGTATTTCAGTATTCTTGACCAGCAGCAGAAACAGGCTATTCCATTTCAAGGTGGGGTTGTCCTCAATGATTTTGATGGTAGATTATTTATTGCCTCCCCTAGGGCAATTTACTCCATGGTACCAGTTGCCTGGGAAAAACAGGTACAATTTCAAATCTTTGATTATATTTGCCATTGATAAAAAAAAACAAAAAAACATTGATTGGTATTTTGAATTTTCTTTATTTTTTACCATAGCTGATACGGTACCCTGCGTGATTTATTTTGATGTTTAGCCCTTAACCTGTTGAATTTGTATTATGGATTTGCCCTGCTTTGAATTTGGAACATTCTATTCAAAGTTTTAGGGATTTCAATATCAAAATACCAAGAGTGAGCTACCAACATTATAGATAGTAGGCTGGCCTGGCTTTATACTGATGACAAAGGCTAAGCAGGTGTGGTTGCAGCAGGGCAATGGTTAAAGAAAAAAAATGATAGATGTCTGCCCAAATATAAATACAGATTTATCTTAATATTTTACACTGACTTAAAAGTGGCCATTTTTAGCCAGATAGTCCTAAAATGATATCATGTTCATGTTTTGTGTAATGTATAACATTACAGTCAAACTTGTATTAAGCAACCGCGCAAGGGAAACACCCAAACTGGTCGCTTAATGAAACGGTCTCTTAAGACAAAGCATAAAAGTCAAAATTTACAAATGACATCTTTCTTTTGCGGTGGGAATGTTTTTCAACTTCATTTATATAAATGTTTAATGATTAGAACGCTCGGATAATCTAAATGGATGCTAATGTAAAAAAATAACTTTCTGATATTTATTGACAAATCAGTTTTGATCCATTATGTACATGTTTGACATTTTTCCAGACTTTTTAAACTTCTCCGTTGTATTTCCTTGTCTCCAACACAAACACCCTGATAAGTGAAGCTTTTTTCTGTTGTGCATTTTTCATTTGAAATAAACAAACTACATCTGATTGTAACGATTAATTTAATTGTTGATCAAGTTCAAGGTCAATTCAATGCAGTTTAAATATCAACAGCTAAGCGTATACACCATCTGAGAAGGGGTGGAGCGTTGCATTGTTTTATCGGTATTATTGGATAATAAACGTTATGCGTATACTTACCTTTATTTGCACACAATAAAACAGTTTGGCAAATAGAGTTTTTCACACATTTATATATTGTGTTTTGATTGTTGACACTTGTGACATTACGAGGCGACTTTCTCTAAAAACACAATTACTTGACAGGTAAAAGTGGTTGTTTAATGAAAAGATTGATCTCTATTAGCTGACTAATTAGTGGTCGCTGGTCTTGTTGAGCAAAAGTCGCTTAATGCATTAAAGATATAGAGAGAAAATGAACAGGGGGAATTGAAAGTAGCCGCATAAGTCAAAAGTCGCTTAATACATGTGGTCGCATGGGCAAGTTAGACTGTACTTGTGTCTGTCTAAAATGTTTGATAAAACATTAAAAATCTAATAAGTTGAAAGGAATACTAGTACAAGTTTAGTTCATTAACTTTAACCCTCTGTTTTTCTGAACACGTTGTAATAATATTGGACATTTCAGGTTCAAGGTCTGCTGGCAGACAAGAGAACACAGGAAGCTCTCGACTTAGCAAGGAACGCCAACCATGCTGGACTTACCAAAGATAAATTCTTAAAGGTAAATTGAATATTTCATTATATAAAATGATTTGATAATTGTTTAACTTATAAAATATTGTATGTAGTTATGTATGGTCCTGGTGATATGCTAACAGTTAAACTGCTGAATTTCGAATCTTGTCCACCTTTCATTTTTGGAACTGTCCATTATAAATTTTTGGGGATAACAAGATTAAAATTTGACATTGATCAGTCAACAGTATAGAGCCTTATGGTAAATGCTAAACATTCTTAGACTCAGTTCCAGCTAAGTTGAGAGATCAACAAATACTTTAAATGATTGATTCAAGTCTCTTTTTTATCAATTCTCAATGCTCATGAGTCATTTTATGACGAATATTTATTACAATAAAGTATTACTAATTTAACGATGTTGACAATGATAATATTTGTTTTCTCCTCGTCTTTTTCAATTATCTTGACATTTTGATCAGTTTTTCAAAGAATTCAGTGAAAGAATACTTGCCTTGTTGTCATACAATCTAAGCTAGGGATTGCAGGTTCAAGCCTTTCTTGGGTCATGACCATGTTTCCAAATAGAATTATACTTTTACATTACAAGTTATTCTAGATATTTTTGACGGATGAGTAGCTCATATAAGCTTTCCATCACAATCTAGCTCAAATCTATAGATATATGTTTGAACTAGGAGATTGCCACAGAATTTGTACAGTACATGTATTTCTGTCTGACATAATTTCATGTTGTTTATTTTAGATATTCCGTAGAATACAACAACAGGCTGCTTTTATAGAATTTTCACAGAAAAACTTTGATGAAGCTCAAGATTTATTTAAAGGTGGTCAAGTGGATATTAGAGAAGTTAGTAGTAAAATATTTACTGATATTATAAATACAATTATAAGCAAATAAATAAGGACTCTAATTAAAGTATTTACCGATAACATTAATACAATTATAAGCAAATAAATAAGGACTTTTATTAAAATATTTACTGATTACATAATACAGTTATAAGCAAATAAATAAAGACTTTTATTTAAATATTTACTGATAACAAAAAACAATTATAAGTAAATAAATGAGGATTTTATTAAAATATTTGCTGATCATATTAATGCAGTTATAAGCAAATGAATTAGGACTTTTATTAAAATATTTACTGATAAGGTTAATACAATTATAAGCAAATAAATGATGACTTTGAGGAACACATATGTATTTATTTATGGAAAGATATGTGCCTCCAATATTGTTTGGATATAAAGTTGAATCTGCATCACATAAAGTTTGGAGGTTGTTTAATTAATAGAAGGACATTATTTTATATATATTTTTTTTTCTTCAAGATATAGAATTTTATATGGATGTAAAGGAAAAAGCTTGATTACAAGATTACTTTCTTTTAACAATCAATTAATTAAAACCAGTAAACAGTACCTTTTAAGAATACTCTTTCCATATACTGTTTATAATGGTGGATGTTATACAATACATGTACGTGGGTTGTCCCAATATTCTGTGACAATATTGTTTAAAAGCTAAATAAAACAGTTACGAATTTGATATTTTAATATGTTATAAACCAATATAATTAAAACATTTTCCCAAATTTACATAGAAAAATATCAACAAACAACAAAAATATGTCATAAACACCATGGCAACTAACTGAATCGCGGCGCACGTCAAACGTCAAAGACGGCGTTTAATCTATATAAGGCGCCTTTCTCAAATACTCTCAATGGCTTTAAACGCAATAATGGTGCAGCTTCACCCATAAATCGTCAATTACAGACCCAAATCATGATGTTGTAAATGTCTGTTGAATGTTTGGATGGCATACATTAATTTTTCCTATACGCAAACTTCCGGTCTCGTTGCACCTGTTTTTTGCTGTATGAAATAGGCGACGAAGATCGGTCTTCCTATCCGTGTTTTCCTTATTTTCGCTTTTTGTAACGCGAAACTCTGGTTCCGTTCATGCCTTTTGTACACAAATGCTCAGGATATGTTGCTAAACTGTTCTATTTGGTATATTTGTTGAAAATCGTAACATGTGTCATCTCGAAATAGTCATAAAACATGAGTGACCTGTTCACTGCGCCGCAAATTCTTCGAACGTCGCCATTTTAACTTTCCTATTTTACATGAGATATTTTCATTTATTCGTATCTTTTTCGTTTCTTAAGTTATTTAAATAAAATTTTCTGAGATGATGTAAACATATTAGCAGAGGAAGTCAACATGACATTGTGCAGACACATCATCAAATAATTGAAATATACAAAATTAATTTTAGCCTATTCATAACAAAATGCAAATTATTTGACGTGCGCCGGTAACTCAAACCAATTTTGTTAATACTGAAAATTTCTAAGTAACTAGAGTAAATTTTTTGTAAATGATCTGTTGTAATGTTAAATAATAAACTTAACGTTTATATGTGTGAACTATTTTCTATTGGCGTTAAAAATGAATCGTCTATAAAATTTGTCACGGACTTTTGGGACAACCCTCGTATATGAAATACTATGTGGTAATCAATATAAAATTATTTTTCTTTTTTTCCAGTTGATAAGTTTATACCCACGTCTGATGCCATCCAGTAGTAATTACCAGCGAAGTATGCCAGCTCTGCACGAGATAGCAGATATTAATCAGTTAGCACGTGGTGATCAGAATGTGATATCACAGTATAAAACCTTCCTTATAACATACTTAGAGGATATTAGAGGCACCAAAGACAGTCATGGTCTCAAACAGGTAATACAGACAAAGATCCCCTAACCAAAAATCCCTTTGGCTTGTCACATGAAATATGACTAAAAGTTCCTTGCTAGAAAACATTAGTCCTATGAACCTGATCTGATTTTTTATATATATGTGTGTGTGGTCTTTATTTGGATGGTGTCTTCACTTAAACTGAATAACGTTTTTAAAATGTATTTTATATTGAGAACAGTTATTTGCATTCTGAAAAATGGTAACTAATGTGTAGTAAGTTATTTTCATCAAAATTTCGACCATGTATATTTAGAATATGCATTTAAATAATACTTCTACTTTATTTTTTGCAGTCTGTTTCACTTGATTGTTGCCAAAACCATAAATCTGGTAAAAAAGTAGATTTTATTATAATTCATCAAAAAAATTCAAATTTATTCAAAAGTCTCATTTTTAAGACATTAATTATAGGGCCAAAAGTATGTACCACAGATCAAGGTCATATGTAAAAAGAACATAGGTTAATTTGAAACTTTTTACCGGATTGTTGACTTGATTTTATTTTTCTAGGAAATAGATGTGGCATTATTAAAACTGTATGCAGAGAGAAATTCAGCAGAGTTATTGCCCCTGGTAGAGGAGGATTCTGGTTGTGATTTAAAGGACTGTGTTGAATGGTTGGAAAAATACCAGAGACATCATGCTCTCGGCTTGTTGTACAAGTATCACGGGGATAATGATAAGGCATTGAATATATGGACTAGGTAAGAATAATGATGTTGTATTTATGGGGTATTTCATTAAAATAACAGATATCAAATAACCATTGTAATCAGTCATATAAGTAAGTTATTCATTATTTTATTTTAGTGTGTCTGTGGCTTAGTGGTTATGGTTTCTGCCTTGAAATCATAAAGCCCCTTACATCTGTTAGTTCAAATCCCATTAGGGATTTTTCATGCAAGGAATTTATCTAGCTAGCTTAATTAAAGCTGGTGGTCTTCTTCGCCAATAAAGCTGGAATATTCAAAAATATTCATAACAGTGTGTTGGTGTAAATAAAATCAAACAAAATAAATTATTTTTAATGTCAAGTCTGTTTTAGAAATATGTTTGTCTATGGCATTAGGGATGTTGACATTCCATTGTCACCAGCTTAGAACAAAGTCATTATGTACATGACTGTTCTGCTGGCTCCTTGTTTTTAGCAATTATTTTATGAAATTATCTAAATTAGCAATTGAAAGTTCCTCACTAAACTTAACTTGTTTTTTTTTAAGAAGTTGCAGATGAAAGAAGTGTTGTTGAAAATTGTTGGATAAATACAGTTATTAAAATATTTAATTGTTATAGTAATGAAGAATCAGAAGAAGCCATTTTACATTTGCTTAAAAATGTTAGAAAAGTGTTTAAAGTTTTAGAATATCAATGTTAAATAACAATGTGTTTTTAACTGTATTTATAAATGGTAAAAATCTTGTTTTAAATATTCCAGACTGGTCAATGGAGACATACAAGATGAATTATTTCCTGGGTTCGAGTTTGTTGTAAATTTTCTCTCAAGGTATCATTTTTCGTTTTTTATTTTCTATGAAACTGATATAAGTGTTTCTGAATGCATTATATTGTTGTAATGGTGTAATATATACCAACATGATGGTATGATATTTATATATAATTGATCTCAGAACTGACAATGATTGGCATATGCTGCCAGTGCAGAGCTAGGCAAGTCTGCTGGCCCATGAACTCTGACCTGACTCTATACCTTCAGCTCTGGTTCAATCCTTTTTCTGTGATGACTTCAGACATTAAGTCTAACAGTCATTTGTTACTCACCCCTGAATCTGAAATCATGTCTTGTCACTTGTGGAGTAATTGTTATATACTGGTTAATTGTCAAGAAAAGCTGGTTAGTTAGACCAACCTCTGGGATGTGACCAAAAATGAGTTAAAAGTCTATTTTAAATCCAGACAGACAAACAAACAAACTGTACTAATATATTTCAATATTGATTAACATATAAGCTTAAGTAAAACAGAAAAGTGATTTTTTTTTCTGTATTATATTTATAGTTTAAGTGACCATGATTTAGTTTGGAAGTACATTGACTGGGCATTAGAAAGGGACCAAGAATCCAGTATAAAGGTATTGTACTCATGTTTTACTGTTTTATTGGTTGGTAATAAAATTTCCGATATTGATATGTAATGTGTGCATTATATTATATATTGAAATTTTTAGTAAAATGATAATAATGTTAAGATTTTCATATATATCAGATACATATATTCAGAGTTGTTTTACTTTATATGTGTATTTTAAGTCCAAAGAAGTGAGAATCATGATTTGTGTATTGTTCTATACTGTCATTCCAATAAAATGACTTTGCCCCTTCGTCCATACAGAATTAATTTCAGTTTGATTGTGTAGGAAACTATAAGCTTAAAATCTATTCCTGGAACTAACCAGTACTGAGAAAAGAGTATAAAGTTTCTTGCTCTAGGAAAAAGTGGCCTTGTCCCTGATGGGGCTTGAACCCAAATGGCTAGTGATTCTAAGATAACTAGTCGAATATGTTAACCTGCACCTTTTTAGCTCATCTGTCACAAGGTGACATGGTGAGCTTTTGTGATCGCTTTTCGCCCAGCATCCGTCCGTCCGTCTGTAAACTTTTACTTTAAAGGACATCTCCTCATAAAGCACTAGGCCAATTTCATCCAAACTTCACAGGAATGTTCCTTTGGTAGTCAACTTTAAAAATTGTTCAAAGAATTTAATTCCAAGCAGAACTCTGGTTGCCATGGCAACCGAAAGAAAAAACTTAAAATATCTTCTTTTAGAAAACCGCAAGAGCTAGAGCTAAAATATTTGGCATGAAACATCACCTAGTCAGTGTCTACCAAGTTTGTTCAAATAAATGCCCTGGGGTCAAAATTGGCCCCGCCCCGGGGGGGTCATTGATTTTCCTTATTTGTATATAGTAAAAACTTAAAATATCTTCTTTTAGAAAACCGTAAGAGCTAGAGCTTAAATATTTGGCATGAAACATCAACTAGTCAGTGTCTACCAAGTTTGTTCAAATAAATGCCCTGGGGTCAAAATTGGCCAAAGAGTTAAAGCTTAGATATTTATCATGAAACATCTTCTAATGGCTGTCTACCAAGTTTGTTCAAATAAAAGTCCCTGGTTTAAAATTGGCATTGGCCCAGGGGCCTATATACAGGTGAGCAATTTCAGGGCCATCATGGCCCTCTTGTTCTAAACTGTCATGCCAAAATGCTGAGCCTGCCCTTAACAAGATTTATTGAAGTTGGATTATTCTCTATATTTCAGATATTGACAGAACGGCCAGCCCAGGAACCTCCCTCTGAGAGATTACGACCCGAGTCTGTGATAGATTATTTACATAGATATCCAAAAGCTGTTGTAACATACCTGGAGTATCTAGTATTTCAGAGAAAATTAGAGGTACTTAATAATTTTTGTGTTTTTTTTTAACTTTTCTCCTTACTCTATGAGTAAAATTAAAGATGATTTAAAATTGTTTTTAAACTTAGTTTAAAGGCACAGATATCACAGAAATTAATACATATGTTCTTCTGAAAAAAAAGGCAAGCATGCTAGATGCTTATTTCCTGGATAGAATAGAGCTTGAAATGAAATGATTTTGTCGTAGAGGTAGCAAATGTTAACAAAGTGGTATATTGCCTTTCATATTTAATCACTTTAATTATACTAAAAGCCAAAATGCTATAGAAGCTAAAGGTGACTTAGTTTTATAGCAGATGATTACTCTTCTTGAAACCAAAAAAGGACATCAAAAATAAAAAAAACTTTTGGAAAAAAAAGAGATTACAGGGCTTGTACAGTTTTAAAAAGTGCTTAAATTTGAGTCCCTTTCTTAAAAAGTGCTGAAAAATGAAAAAAAATTCTTTAAAGTCCTTGAATTTGATGAGTCTCTTGAAATGTGCTTAAAAATATGCTTGAGAATTGAATGACATGGTATTGGTAAAAATCAACATTTAACAAAACCAATCAAATTTAGTACCAAAATAAATAAAATGTTTGCTAAACAGTTACAGTATAGGGACGAATTGCAGTTGCTTCGAACTTGTGTTGTTCTTTTGTAGAAACACTAAAATGGTGACCGGAAAATACTACACATTTATATAATGAGGGTATACTGTATACATTACCATAATGAACAAGGATAATAATTACGATTGTTAGTCATATAATGGGGCGTCCATGGCCCAGTGGTTAAGGTCATTGACTTCAAACCACTTGCCCCTCATCGCTGTGGGTTTGAATCCCAACAGGGACTTTGGATCCTTTCATGTGAGGAAGCTATCCAGCTAGCTTATGGAACGTCAGTGGTTCTACTCAGGTGCCCCACGGGCCTGAAATAATGTACAGAAGGGCACCTGAGGTCTTCCTCCATCAGTAAAGTTGGAACGTCACCATATGACCTATATTGTGTTTGGTGTGACGTAAAACCCAATCAAACTAACTAGTCATATAACTGATATTTGTTACACTATGTATGTATGTAATGAGAGTAGATAAACAATGATAATGATTAAATCTGCTGGTCATACTCGAATATTTTACTATACATGAAAACATATATCAAAATATCACATAATGTACAATGTATGTTATTTAGCAGTCAAGAATAAAGTTTTCAATGTTTTATGACTTCTTTTTTTTAAGTTACTTTATCATTGGTTTAATACAAATGATATATGTGCAACAAATTGTGAAAAATGGGAAATTGTGCTTAAAAAGTGCTTGAAAGAGCAAGGTTCACTAAGCACCAAAAATGGCCCCATCTTAGATATTGATAAAAACCTAAAGGTGTTTAGTACAATGTGTTACATTTTCAAAATAGACATTTATTAGGCATTTCTGGTTACTATGACGACATAATGACGTCATAATTAGAGCACCTGTTTGATTCAATTAAATCACAAATTTGACGACAATTTTCATACAAGACTAATAAATTTGTGTGTTTGACTGAATTAAACTCATAAAGATAGCAATATATTTCTTATATATTGTAAACAAAATTATAGTTTAGTTAAAATTAGACTATTGTGTCACAAAACTAATATAAAAGATAAATGGAGCTCATTTCGGATATTCCAAATTCGGATATTTAGAAATAAAAATGTGCATGCATATTATTTTTCGCCTAACTTAATGTATTTATTTTTACTTTAATTTATAAATACTGAAAGTTTGTTCATTTTTTAATAATAAATGTCTAATTTGCTTGTTATATTCATCTACTTCTTATATTACGCTTAAAATAAGGGTGTATAGAATTAATCGCAATTTTAACGGCCTTTTTAGTCAGTCTTTAGACAAGGACGTTGAACATAATAATAATTATAATAATAATAATAATAATAATAATAATAATGATAATTTATATTATTATTATTATTATTACTATTATTATATTATAATAACACAAAACAGATAGGTATTTCTGTCTAACCTAACTAAACTTATACTGAGTAACTATATACATGTAAGCAAATAGTATGTAAATACTAGGAGTTGTTGACTTATTCCAATGTATAGTGTAAATGTCTGCCTAAATTAAGTAAATTTATAGATATAAAAGTACGTTAGAATTTTTTTGTGAAGTAAAAATAATGTTTGACTGTATGCTCTTTTGGAGTATACGTAATATTTGATACTGAACTGCAAATTCAATACTATTTTCTTTTATGAATTATGATACAGCCAAATCCAGAAAACGATTTGTGTTATTTATAATTATGGAAATCAGACTTTTATTACAATTGTAATGTAATGATCCATGACGATATGAGAACTCAGAAAAAACAAGAGCTGTCACAGAACGTGACAAAACCCCCCGAAGGATTCTAGTTCTTAACCAACTATTACATGTTAAGTGTGGTGGTAAAAATTGACAAAGTTTGAACCCCAGCAGTGAACTATAAGAAACCTAGGCCTTGTTCACAACACATTATCCATCAATGGTGACTTTATATTTTTAAATAAAAATTGAAACTTTCATGTATATGGAAGTTACAGAGCGGACACAACAACCACCATTTATATGTATAACATAAATATTGAAAAAGTTTCAACCCCAGCAGTGACCTTAAACTAAGGCGTAGGAACACGGGTCTTAAGGGCAACACATCATACATTTATGATAATTTCATATGTGAAATAAAAAATATAATCCTTTCATGCATATTATTTTCAGAGCAGACACGACCCATCTCTGCCTATATGTATATAAATATCAAAATTAACAAAGTTTGAACCCCCACAATTACCTGGACCTAAGTCATAGAAACCAGAGTCTTGTTCGCGACACACCATACATCTATGGTTATTTCATATATAAAAGAAAAATTAAAATCCTTTCATGCATACTGAATCAGAGCAGACATGACCACCACTGTCTATATGTATAAAGCCTGAATGACTGACGGAATGACAGACTGACAGACGGACGGTTCGATTTAAATATGCCATCCTTCGAGGGCATAAAACATTTAATATTTACATGTATTCATAATTTATGTGACATAAAACAACTCTAAGAAAGATTTGGTTTATATCATTCCAATATGCCCTTACATCTACATAATGAGTGTAAATTAAACACTTAACATAAGAAAGCCTACAATCAAAAATTTAATTTAGCATTGTCTCTATTATTGTTACTTTTAACGATTCTCTTTCACACTGTATTGAATGGCTATCAATTTCAAAATACAGCTACATGATCAGCAAGATTATCAGCCCATTTTTTCACTCCTGACTGAGTCTCACAACTCCTCATGGTGTCCATATGCGAGGTACCATGTAATGGTGGAGACATCGGAACACATTCAAACTACGTGTGCACCAGCCATAAGAAAGGCAGTAATACACATCAATGCTGTCATTCGTGTAGATAATCCAATTCATGTAGTTATGGCTGCTTACATGTATGCTCTGCAATTTCGTGCACAAAATAAAAGGATCCTTTTGAATTGTGAAAAAGGAAATGTCAAGACTTTCTGTCTATTTATTCTTGGAAACAGCTAGAGCTTAATACCATGCTTTTTTCTCATCCTGGGAAAGTGTACTGAACACATTTCGTCCGTTGACTCCTAACATATTTCCTGCTTTGGCAATTTCTTGTGAATATTTGTTAATGAGAATAATACTAAATTATTAAGATTTAAAACTTCTTGTTGAATTTTTAAGCAATTAAATGTCTAACAAATCTTTAATACCTTAAGAACTATGAAATTGCACTGACTTAAAATGCTAAAAATCTGAAGGAATAAATACATTAATGAAATAACATATTATTTACTGAAAAAGCACTATCTATTTTATTAATTATTAAAACGAAAAAAAGAAAAAGAAAAAAAAAGAGTTCATGATCTAGGTTTTGAACTCAATTCTCCTGGGTGAGAGGCTCCCATGCTACCACTGAGCTAGTGCCACATTACCAGATGTTATGACATCATTTAACAAGTAGTTTTACATATACATCAATGCAGACGATGTGGAATTATAAAGTTTAAAGATCCTGTTACACATTTTTTTCATGGTTTTATTTCATAAATATGATGCTCAAATTAAGATTTGTCAATCTTGTAAGTTCAAATAAGCATTATTTATAAAGATATTACCCAATTTAACATTTTGCGTAAATAAAGGGAGGTAATTAGAAATTTATTTTCTATAAATTCCAATTCAAATTTTCCAATAAGAAATGAATGCATGTAACTTATTGATTAAATATAATGTGCACAAATATTTGCAGTACACATTTTACATATTCTTGGATGTTTGAAAATTGTTTTATTTGCATAATTATATACATATATAATATTTTGCAAGTGTGTGATACATACAGTAACAATATCAATCACAAAACATACAGGATCTTTAAATACTCTACATACAGTACTGTATCTTTAAATTGTTTTGAGACTTGCATTAATTTAATTTCACAAAGTAAATTGAATTCTTCTTATCTACCTTTTAAAAACCTCTAAATCACTGTGTTTAAACGACCACAGTTGTTTTTGTTGTTGTTGTTTTTTTGTGAGGGCGAAAGAACCGGACCCAGATCAAGTATTCAGCAATAAAATAGCTTGAACAGCATAACTTCTTTCAATGAATCAATAAAATTACATAACAACACCTTGCTAATTCTAAGAATGAAATATTTAAGGCATAAGTAGAATTTCAGCATTTATTTATAAGCGTTTACATATAATTCTTTTAACCTGCCAGAGTTTTGTTTACAACCGTTACAGTGGAAACCGTCGAACTCGTACCAAAACATAATCGTACTTATTTTAGTGAAAGTGCCTTTAATTTTCTAGAAATGATTTTCCTGCAAATATTTATTAAAATATATGTTATGAATCATATTTCAACAACTTAGAATAAAAATTAATAATGTTGAGTTCAATATACATGCTCCTTGATTTGCATTTACTGAAATTAATGCCAGAAAATGACGTTTAGATATTAGATAAAAATCTTATTTTGGAATAGAGCACAGGCAAGCCCCAACTTTATATTGATATAGTTGAAGCCTTTGATACATTACAACACAATGGTGTAATGATTTTGTTGGGGCTGGACTGTGCTGATACTTTAATTTTCGTTTAAAACACCAAAAATACGTGAATTTTCCTAATTTTGCTGGAAATAGGGGTATTTCCATGGAACATAAATCATACTAAATGTAAACATATGTCTATAAATTCATATTTTTTTAACAGTTTAAGGATTGAACTTATAAATAAAACCTAAAAACAAGAACTTTTCATCAAATTATTTTTTGCCAAAATCTTGGGCAAAAATCCATGGTTAGTGAACCTAGCTCTTTGGCATTGGATGTCTCTAGAAACCCTGTTTTACCAGGCTTAATGGGCGTATAATTGAAGTTTTACATATCAGTAGTAATCAGGGCTGTGTGGTTATGAATTCTGACTCTAGATCAAAGTTCAAAATTTACCATAGATTTTAATACTTACAGAAGTTCATACAGAAAACAGTGTTGATACCAAACATCAGTTATTGTTGAAATAGTGTCACAGCTTGTACTATATTTAACATATTTATATATTTTCAGAAAGAGAAATACCATACACATTTAGCAGTGTTATATTTAGACAATGTATTACAACTGATGAAAAATAACAGTGTGAAGAAAGAACAAATTGATATAGCAAGGTATATAAATATATCAGATAAGTTAAAAATCTAAGGCCAATAAGCATAGCCAAAAGTATGCTATAGCTGTGGTGGTAAAGTGGTAAGCATACCGGACTGGCAATCATGAGATCTGTTGTTGGAATCTTTGCTTCCCTAGATGATTTTTTGTGTGATCTTCTTCGTATCATAATGACTTGTAATTCTTGCTATTGATCCATTAAGCAAGAAACACAAGTTCACGAACATTGCAACAGGGGTAAGATTTTCTTCAGATATCCTCATGATCTTCTACATGTAAGGCTGTGACTATATATGCATTGAGTCTTCATAAAATTGCTCAAAGTCACTAATGGATGATGTCCGTTACAAAAGCTTGGTTATTTAATGACTATCATAAGCTGATGTGTCTTGTAAAAGACAGTGTTTATAATTGTGATAAATAATAAAGATACATTTTACCTGTTCTTGTGATTGTAATAATTTATATGAAAATGTATAATTACATGTACATAATTCCTGACCTTTATATATTACAGATCCAAATTACGGCACATGTTGCAAATGTCTAGTTTATATAGAGTGCAGTTAATACTTGGTAAAGCCAAGGAACAGGACATGCATGCTGAATGTGCAATTTTATATGGCAAGGTTTGTATATATACTGAAATAATATTTATATGTACAGTACAAAATACTTCATACATATTCTATATGTATACAATATCTATTTCTTTGCACATGTATTCTTTAATGGGATATTTGTTGACTGCTCTGTCATCACTATTAACTTGTTAATGTATACAGACTTTGGATTTGCTATATCTATTTCTGTATAGAGCGCCTGTTTTACTGAGTGAGTTGTTCATCATAAATTTGGGTATGGAAAATACTTCTAACACCATACATGTTTCCTCTCCACTGCTGATTAGTATGGAGAAGTTGATAGTTACTTGTGGAAAATCATATGACCATTGTTCAGAATCTAGATTCTAAATATCCCATTGATATATGACTGAATACCTCAATGGAAGATTTTGGTCTACAAGCAATATTCTACTTTATGTCTGTACAATTAAATCGTGTGAAGTAACCCATGCATACTCATTATTTATACACTTTATTAGCATGATGAATGTAGTTCATTGAAATCAGTACCCACGGGTTCCGTTGATGAATCAAGATAAGAAATGATTAATTAATGATTAATTGAGTTCTGATACTTAAAGTTTTTTTTATTGTCAATAAAATATTTCCAATAATTTTTTTCTTACCTGAATGTTTGCCTTAAGGTTTACTGTTTGTGGTTTTTATTTTGAGTTGGTTTCTAAGCACAGGTTTAACACTGTAAATATTTTGTTATTCTAGTTAGAAGACCATGAAAAAGCATTGAAAATATTAGTTCACAAATTACGAGATTACGGTGCTGCTGAAAATTACTGTCTAGTCAACTCTGAGGGGCGGGACACAGCATACAGGAAACGCCTCTTCCATATTCTACTTAGTGTGTACTTAGATCCTGCTAATGAGTAAGTTAATTTTCTTATTACTCTCTTCAATGCTTCCAGATTTAATTAGGAAATCATTTGTTGTTTTTTTTTCTCATCTTGTAAATCAGACTGTCAGTTCATAATTGTGATACAGGTTTATTCATTGCCAAACAAAGCAAAGATACTTCCTGATTTAATTTACATTATCTTGTATTATATCATAGTCTTTAAAGTAAAAAAAATGGGGTTGTGGGGTTAGTACTTTTTTTTGGGGTTAACTCAAACCCTGGCGGGCAGCTTCAGTTTTCCTTCCGTGAAATCCAGGAAAGACAAACAGGTCTGCAGTTCCCCTTTTTATAAATAATTTTTTAAAATTTTTCCTTTTAAAAATTTTAAAAATTGGGGTTTAAACCCATTTTAAAAGATAAAACAAGACTTTTTAAAAATATTTAAACCCAATTTTAAGATTTTGTTAATTAACTTAATTGTTTTTCCCTAATGGAAATTTTTTGTAAAATAAAGGGGGTTTTTAATTTTTTTGGGGCATCCTCCCGATTTTTTAAGGGTTTTTTATTTAAAACCCACTAACCCCCCCACTGCTTAGTTAGAATCCCACCAGGGACATTGTATTCTTTCATGTGACAAAGCTATCCAGCAAGCTTACAGAACATCAATGGTTCTACTCAGGTGTACATTTGTGCCTGAAATTATACATGAAGAGTTACCTAATTTCCTACTGCTGGAAAGTCACCTTTTTTCCTTTTCAGTGATGGTGCAACATAAACCCCTCCCCCCCCCCCCCCCCCCAAAAAAAAAAAAAAAAAATGACAATTCAAGTTATTTTAGTTTAATCATTGAAAGATGTTTAGATGGTTTTTTTTTTTTACCATAACCTTTTTTGCTATAGATCAATACTGAAGCATGTTTCATGAACTTATTACCTTTATAATTACTAACTTGTAGAAAGAAAGATTTGATGGTAGGACCAGCAATAAACCTGTTGAACAGTAATGTTGGAGACTTTGATGTTGCAAAGGAAATGGTAAAGGGTTTTTTAATTTAAATTTTTTTACTACACAAAAATTAACAGGGGAAATTTTTTCCCCAATTTTTTAAATTGTTGAAATCCATTCACATTTAAAAATTTTGCTTTTAAAAATTTTGGTTTAAATAATTTCATTTTAAATTTAAAAAAATTTTCCCTTAAAACCAGGGTTAACACAGTTTTTCCCGTTGGCACATTTTTTGGGGGGCCCCTCGATAAAAATGAAAATCCCTTTTTTTTAAATTTAAAATTTTATTTTGTATTTAAACACATTCAGCCCCCTTTTAAAAATTTTTTTTCCAAGAGAAGGGGAATGGAATTTGGCAAAATATGTGATTTTATTGATTTTTTTAATTTCTATCAAAAAAATTAAATTTTAAAAAAAAACCTTTGGGGAATAGGGTTTTAAATTATGCCCCTTAAAAAAATATCAAGCTCTTAATTTAGTTTTGAAAAATGGTTGCTGGTCGCATCTTTATTGAATATGAAAGATGTTTGGTTATTATTCATCACTATATAATTGTTAATTTGATCAAAGGCACTGATTATCATTGATTATAAACAACATGTGTCTATCTACATCAACAGGTTATTCAAATAATACCGGACAGCTGGTCCATAGCATTATTGTCAGATTTCTTAAAGAAAGCAGTACGGACAAACATGCACACACACCGAATGACACGCGTAGAACGTATGATGTCAAGGGGAGAGAACTTACTTGTCAAGGAAATTAGCATAGAAGGACAACATCAACCAATTGTCATGACTGAAGAGAAGTAAATGAGTTTTGAAAAACTTCTGTATTTTTTCTTTAATGTCATTTGTTTTGAGCTCTTTTAAATCAATTAATTTAATTTTGGTTTCTGGACTGTTGCCATAATTATGAGGAAACATGGTAGTGACCAAGTAGGGCTTGAACCAATGACTTATACTTTTTACTGTAAGGCATCCCGCATTCTAAAAGAATGATTTTTAGTGTTGGGGCTTTTTTGGGGTTAAAAATTTAAATTTAAAAAATGGAAAAATTGTGGTTTTAGCGGGGGTTAACATATTTGAACCTTTTTAAAAATCTTGATTTATTTTTAAGGAAAACCCAACACTTGGGTTACCCGGGAAAAAGGGAAAGAATTAATCATAAGCCTACTGGGCCCCAATAGATTCTACCCCCTTGACTAGTGCAAACAAGTTCCGCCCAAAAAACCCTGGCCGTTTTATAGGTTGCAAAGGTTACAATTAAATCAATAAAATTTTTTTTAATTTTAAACTAAAATGGAAAGATTGGGGTTTTTTAAGATGAAAAAGGGGGAAAATCTATTTTTGATTTTGTGGGGGTTTTATAAAGGGTAAGTTCAACTTAGTTTTATGTACAGGTTGTGTTTCATAGACTCATTTCTTTGTTTGTTTTCAATATCATTATGTTTAACTGTTTTTTTACATTGTTGAATCATTGTAATTTTTTTCTTATTTTCAGACCATGTGCAGTGTGCAATAGACCATTTAATGAACCATCTTTTGTGCGTTATCCTAATGGGATAATTACTCATATACATTGTGCTAAGAATAAACATGTGTGCCCCGTCACTGGAAAACTGTTCTGCACGAAGAAGTCATGACATCGGATACAGTTAAAGTATTAGTTTTAAAGATTGTAGTGAAAAATTCTGTGTCATAGTTTCAGTACATTAAAAATAGTCCTGTGTTATATGATTTCTGTACATTCAATATAAAAAAGCCTTAATCTGTGCGTAGCTGTACTAGAAAAGATCATAAATCATCATGATTAGACTGATTTTCAAACACCAAAAAAGGACCAACAGAAAACCAGTCTCAGAATGAGCAGACATTAACTTTAGAATATACATATACTATGATATGTTTATATATATACTGACTATTTGATAGATGAATGTAAACCATCATAAAATAGTGGTTTTTTTCTTGGTTTTTAGGTTTTTTTGTTGTTTTTTTAAACTCAGCAATGTCATAAGCTGAAAGCAGACGTCATTTTAATAGAGATTCAGAAACTTCATTATTTCAGAGTTGATACTACATGTAGTATGAAAGATTTTTGCTCATAACAAATAGTTTTTTGTTTTTGTTTATTTTTTTCGGTGTTTTATATTTTTCCTGCTTAGAGCAGACGTCATGTTAAGAATGGTTCAGATAAACTTTTATTTTAAAACCAGTTTGCCCACATACATGTATGAAGCAGTATATCTTGTCACAATTCAGTTGTTGTTGTTGCTGTTTTGTAAAATATTACCTGCCGTAAGCAGATATTACTTTAAAAAAAAATAAAATTTCCCAAATATATAGAAAAAACTTTTGGTAATTTTTTTTACTGTTTTTTTATTTTTTAATGAATGGGGGAACCCTAATACATGGTGTTCCTTTTTAATTTAACTTTTTTTCCCAAAATTTTTTAACCCCCGAATTTTTTTCACTGGTTTTGCCCCCCTTTGAATTGGAAAAATCCCTTTTGAAAATTAGCATTTTGGGATTAAAAAATACAAAAATTGAGGTTTTAACAGAAAAAGAGCCCAATCGGGCGCACAGAATAAGGGTGGGTCCGGCTCTAAAAGCTGGTGGGAAAGGCTCATCACTTTTGGCCGAGTAGGTTTTTTGGGGAAAATATTATTTTGGGGGAAAGGATTTAATTTAAAATTTGAATAAAACAGAACAACAAATTTCAAAATCATTTAAAAGATAGTTTAAACAAAATTAAAAAGAAAAAATTTTAAAAAAGATTTTTTTAAGGGGGGCCCCTAAGTCTCCCTTTAAATTTTTTATTTAAAAATCAATACTGTATTCGGTTTAAAAAAGATAAAAACTTTCCCCTTTCTAATAAGGGAGTTAAGTTTTATTTTTTTTTTCTATATTAAATATATTAAATCAACACCAGAATGTTAAAAAATAAAAACAAAGAATTTAAAGTGTGTCCCAAATATAAACTTTTATTTTAAAAACAGAGAGTAAAATATGTAATTGGTAATAAATTGCCAAAAAAATAAAAAAAATATTTTAAACATGGGCAATTAGGTAATTTACCTGTAAAAATAGATTATTTAAAGATGTTATTTGTTTAAACTTTTGGGTTTGGGTGATTTCCCCGACTTTAGAAAAAGGGCAATGATTTTATGGGAAAAAAAGGCCCCTTAAGCAAATTTTATGGGGAAATTTTTACATGGGGTTTTTTCCCTTTTTTTTATAGTGAAGAGGAAAATGGGTTTTTGTCAATAATAGGGGTTTTCAAAAAGTGCAATTATCCTTGTTTAAGAGGTTATTTTATTAATATAATTTGTTTAAATGACTTTCAGTTACCACTAATTGATGAATCATAATTATACATTTTAGTTCAGTCATATTTAATGAATATATATATTGGGAGAGTGTAGGAATTTATGTTAATAATTTCATGAACTTACCAGCACTGGTGTCATATGAATAACATACAGTACTTGTAAGAATTACTGGTTTCCCAAGGGACATACACCACTTGCCCTTCACCACTGTGGGTTCGAATCCCGACAGGGGCTTTGAATTATTTCATGTGAGGAAGCTATCCAGCTAGCTGACGGAACGTCAGTGGTTCTACTCAGGTACCCATTCGTGCCTGAAATAATGCACGATCTTCCTCCACCAGAAAAGGTGGATCGTCGCCATATGACCTTTTCTGTGCCAGTGTGACATAAAACCCAATAAAACAAACAAATAAGGGACATACCGGATAATCAGAACTGCTGTCATAAAATAAGTCACATCTTCGCTGTATCTAAATTTGAAAGTTTTCATATACTGGTAGTATGACTGAAACTATTAAATGAAGAAATTAAGTGCATACCATTGTTTCAGTTTTACAGCCTAAATTATTGATATAAATAAAAATGTGTTTCAGTGTTTCTAAAATTGAATCATATGTTAATTATTCATTATCTGTTCATTGTAATTTCCCCCTATATAACTGAGGACAGAACTCACTTAAAATAGATTAAGAATTCTTTATGATATATTGGCAGCTAGTGTTATTTATCTTCTTTAAGTATCCTAAGCTTTGCTATTGTTTTCCCTTGATCCTATCTTACAAATTTGATACACAATATGTTCTTTTAGCTGTATAAACTGCATATTTTTTATAATCACTGTATTTCTTTAACATCTACTTTTTCCATTTCTGAAGATAATTCTTTTTTTATGCCCTCACAGTCACATCATTGGGATGTGCAACTTTGCCCTAATCAGTCTGTCCTGCTGACCGAGGACCGACAGAAACAGTGAAATGTGGGGATGGGCATTATATTTATATACCTGCCTTTTTGGGTTTTTTTATTTCTGTAAGTGGCTTACTTTCATTATATCACTTCAGATTTGTTTAACATATTAAGAATTTTCTATTTTTGTATAGAGGCTGATCTGATACCTGAACTTAATTAATGTTAAAGGGAGATCAGTACATGATTGTAAACTAATTTCAAGAAAATATTGTTATATAGATGATTCTATTCTTTCTAGAATATCTGTTTAAAGAAAAGTGATTTTTTTACTATTTTCACTATGTCTGTTATTTACAGCTATGATCCATGTAAACATTTCTATAGCAGTTTGTAGAAAATACAAACCAACTTTATTAAAATTTGTATAATCTATACATCTGGTAAAACATGTTCGTGCATAGGATTTCTATGGGTTTTTTAACTTTTTTTACCAGTATGAAGGGTATTTTTAGTAGATGTGTAATCTTTCCTTAGTCTTAAATTTTTTCCCATGTCAAAGAAAGTTTATTTTTAAGGCGCATCATTCATTTTTTTGCTGATCCAAATTGAATCAATGAAATCAAAAAGTCATACTGGTAGATTCTCGCAAAATACTGGTAATCAGTGATTCTCCAATTGTATTCCTGTGGAATGTAATGGATGGAGATAATTTCTGTGAAGCTTCTCAATGTAAACCAGTAAATGTCAGTCTAAAATTTTTAGGGGAGTGGGGATGGCCTTGACCCACATCTTTGACAATTTTTGTAGTAACTATGTATATATATGTATGTACTAGCTGATTTTCGTTCTCTTTATAGCTTCTTCTGATAAGTGATAATATTGTACTTTTATTTAGGAATGTTGAAAACAACAAATATGAAATTTCAAATGTTCACTTAGCCCACATACAATCATATAAGACTTTCACCATGATTTAAGTTCGCTTAAGTCGTGATCATACTTGCGGTCCCTGACTCTTATTCCTGGTCCCTGTATCTAGGGATAAGATTCCTGGTCCATTTTTCTAGGGATTAGACTCCTAAATCTAATTATTACACTCCAAGTCTCTGAATATTGTAAATGTAATGACTACACTCCAATTCCTGAACATAGGGATCACACTTAAAAGTTTCTGCTTGTTGACCATTGGCTAACACATTTTCAGTTTCAATAAGGTCATCTTGGGTCATCTAGGAATCACACTTCTGATCCTTGAATTTAGGCATCTCTCATAGTACCTGAATCCATAATTCCTTGATCTAGCCATCACATTTTCTGAATCTAGTGATCAAACTTCTTGTATCTAATAATTATACTTGGATCCCTGGACTCACAATTTCTGATTTTTTACCAATGGATTATACATTTTCAGTAACATCAAACCTGTTTATATGTATAGTAATACATATATATTATAGGAAAAAACAACAAGTGGCAAATGCTGTTAATGATTTTATTTCATTTTTCTCGTCATATTATTTTCTGTTATCTAGTATATTTGAGTGTGTATGTATATTCTGTTTATGTGATATTATTATGTGATAATAAACCATGAAAAAATTGATCCCATCTTCTTGTTTATACATGTGCACAAATGATTTTTTATGACTGCCTAAAAAGAAGAAACAAAACAAACATTTTTATGATAACCTTTTTCCATGCTATATTTGTGTTACAGATCAGCCTTGCTAAAATTTTAACACTGTTGATGCAGTAGATTTTTGTATCAAAATGCTAGAATTGACCCTTATCATGCAAAATATCTTTTATGAACTTGTTCATCTTTCAATCTGTACAAAATAATTATTTTTTCCAAAAAAAAATCAAAATAAGTACTGACTGAATGAAGTCAACAGTGCATACCACAATCTGTGCTATTTGATCTTGGACTGCGCTTGTAGCATAGGTAGCTGTTAGAAGACTAAAAATAAGCACCCACACAAAGTATAGACTTGTCAAACTAAATTGAAGCACAGGAGGTTAGACTAAAACTTACTACCATGTAACTAAGGCAAGATACTACCTGTTGGATCCAAAATTGATCATCATTTATCACCAGTATAGAGCCAGGACACCATGAACATACTTGTAGGCTGATCAGGCTCTATACTTGCTGACAAACCTAAAATTTTAATCTTAACATTCTTTAAAATGATAATGGTCTGTTCCAAGACATGTCCATTTAAGAAATTTAGCATGAATAGGGTAAAATAGAAAAAAATCACAGCTGGAAAAATCAAAGCTGTGATGATTGTGAAAGAATAAGGGCATCTAATAAGCCGAGCATGTGGATTGGTCATGAAATTGTAAAATAAAATAATGAAAGTAGTATGCTTTTGACCGTGCATGCATTTAAGCAAAATGTATTTTAACAGTACTGCATATTACATGAAACATGTATTTCACGAACAAAGCTGTTTATACATGCATACTTTTAGCTATCATAACCAACTGGTTTATCTATTATATTTAACTTTCACTCATCAATAAGAAAGAGGAAAAAATATTATAAATATTTATATATAAATAGATATAAATATTTGCTTTGTTAAACTGACAGGTTCCCCTGAATGACATGTACATGAATAAAACTTTACCATTCAATTGAGAAGGCCATACATTAATGAATATATTACACAGTTGATATAACACAAGATGTATGCACAGTTAAGTAAGCAATCAAAAGAAATCTGACTGATATATATGTCTGACTGGTAATCAAAAGTGATGATGAATGTTCAGTAAAAAAAAAAAAATATTTAGTTTATATAAACTGAGATTATTCAAAGTACAATGTACTGTTTCTAGTCCTAGTTTCCCGTCCCTGAAACTAAGTAGTGCTCACCAGGTGTCAAATCCCAATCTAAGAAAGACCTAAGTCCATGATCTCTGGATTAAATATAAAGAGAAGCTGACAATTTAACTGTTTACTTCTCCCAATATAAATGTTTAAAATCAATTTCAAGTAGGAGTAGGAATGATGTTTTCATATTTGCAATGATATAAAAACATAATGTCAGCAATAATAAATAAAAAAT